GGTTGCTGGTTGGGAGCCCTTCTGTGTGGAGTTTGCATGTTCTCAGGGTACTCCGGCTTCCTCCCACAGTCCAAAGACATGCAGGTTAATTGGTGACTCTGAATTGTCCGTAGGTGTGAATGTGAGTGTGAATGGTTGTCTGTCTCTATGTGTCAGCCCTGTGATAGTCTGGTGACCTGTCCAGGGTGTACCCTACCTCTCGCCCAATGACAGCTGGGATAGGCTCCAGCCCCGCCCACGGCCCCTAACAGGATAAGTACAGTAGGGACTGAGTGATTTGAGTGAACTGACCCTTTAAAAAAAGTGCACAGAAGGCCTATTATGTATTGATCAAGTACAAATTGGCAAAAACATCACAGTCCATCAAAATGTCATGGTATCCCAGGATTCAGATGGCCCCACTTTTCACTGTTTAACTCTTTGCTCTATTACAAGCTGTTTTAATGCTTTGACACGGTGATGTAATACAATAAAAAAAAACCAGTGTGACAGCAAAAACCACATCTGAAAAGCAAGCTTGCAGCTTCGAGCTTGTAATGTTAATTATGTGTTGAGAACATGTCACAAATGACCTGAGGTGTTGGAATCGTTATATTGGATTGCATTTTTTAATTATTTGGGTAGTAGTTTGTTTTGGTTCTTTTGTTATAGCTTCAGTGCTCTGCATCTCCCATACTGTTGTGGTGCAACATGGATCAAAATATTCAAATTTAACATGAAAGTTGTCACGTAGTTTGCACACATTATACAGTGTGGTAGAACCTGTATTAGCTGTTACGTCTTACAGTAAATCGCTGCCCTGTGCAGCCAGAGACAGCTTCACTAACAGAGATTCACTTCCTTTTTTAAGGGTACATCAGTTACACTAAATCCTGGAGGGCAACACTTTGTTTCCTGTTTCTGGAAATCTAACCGTGACTCTTGCCCCACACCAAAATATGCTTTCAGACAGCAGCATCATCGTTGATTTATGTCTGAAGCATTAGCAGACATGAGTTAATGCAGCGTCACTATGAGGTAGTAAAACCTGAATTAATGAGCCGCATCTTGGCTGACAGGTAGTTTTTTTTAGATTTATGTGATTACTATTTTTAAATCTAAAGGAGAACATTTATAAAATGATCTGGTGCGCTTTCTCTCTCAGATCTCTGAAGCATTCAAAAAAGGCTCCACTGTCACGTATTAAAATACAACCGTTTCTATTGGCTAATTAAAGAGTCCTGTTGAAGGAAGGACATTATCATAGTTAAAACTGGCTCTGAGTATAAGTCTTTATCCCTGGCATTGACAGGTGCTGAAAACAAATAAACCATACAAAGACTGAATATTCTAAGTCTTACATCATGGCCCCTGAAAATTCTGGATTCTTATTGGTTGGAAGGTTTAACGGAGACAGCTCTGACACAGGTGCTTGTTTGCAGTTCTAAACTATAGATCATGTTGCGATGAGATCACACCAGCCGTGACGCCAATCTGCAACTTAAAACAAATATTTCCGGACCCCTTGCTCAGACCATACCCATCTTCAAGCTTGGCATTCATTGTGGTCTCAACTACACGCCTGTAAAGTTTTGTGACTGCGTCTTGCAGAGTTGTGATGTTATTGTATTGACAAAAGGAAAGACAGTATATATATAGACAGTATATATATATATATATATATAGAGAGAGAGAGAGAGAGAGAGAGATAAACACCTGGCAAAGTACTCAAAACAGCCACTGTGATAGTTCCCATCACAACAGGTGTCTCTTTGCCATGTTGACACACACACACACACACACATACACAGACACACACACATAGATGAAACCAACAGCAGCTCCACTATTGTGGCTTTTAAAGATATACATCTGCTGCTCCGTGAGAACTGCGCAGGTTTCATTTTAAAAGGGTCTGATATTCGCGTGAATCTGAACGTCCACATCAACTATTGGTCAGAGAGGGAGAGAGAGATGCGGTCAGGCTGGTACACTGGCAACGCCTGAAAGAAAAGCTCCAGGGTGAGAGGACCAGAGAGGAAATGGGACCAAAACTGAACAGCAAATAAAAAGATGTGGAGAAGTCACAGGTAAGAGTGAGGGAAAGAGAGACACTTAAATACTTAAATAATATAACGTGTCTGTGTGTGAGAGGGAGAGCTAGCTACATAAAGTCGTCTCTGCTGGAAAGACAGATTTAATAATACTGTGTAGCAGAACTCTGCTTTTGTGAGTTGGGTATGGTCACTGTTTGAGAGTGTATGTCTTTCTTGGTTTTAAAACTCCCGGATGCAAATTTGTGTTTCTCTGAGTAGCAAAGGCATGACCTGCCCTACTCTGCCATAGGCGGGATTTGTACTTGTGCAACAGACTGTACGCCGTTGTGAACATTTATACTAGTGCGGTGGTGTGTCTGTGTCACTCTGCAGTTACACCTCCAAAACACTAGTCAGCGGCGGGGTCTTTGTGAAGAGCTGTAAAGTTTAGTTGATTCAAAACACACATTAAACACACATTTAACATGGCTTAATACAGACAGTTTCAAACACAAGTACACAAATTGGCTACTCTGACTCTGATTGGCTTACCTAGACATTGGTACCCTAACCAATCTAAATCCTCTTGCTTCTAACCAACCCAACCAATGACAGCAATGAGCACGAGCCAATCAGAGGGATAAATATGTCGAGTCATGCCTCAGCTATCCCAGGAAGCGCAAATACGCCTCCTGGAGCAGCATTTTGAATCCTTCCTGTTAAGTTAGACGTTACCTGTCAGCGCAGACATCAGATATTCTGAGGCTCAGGAGCTAGCTAACTATGTTTCATGATGTTTAAAACAGAAAAGCAAGATTGTAATCAGTTGTATGTTTAAAGTAAAGACTGCTGTTTTATTTTTAAATTTGTTTATACAGTATATGGCAATTTGTTGGCAAATGTCTGTGGCACTGTAGAAGCAGTACGATACTCTTCAAGTTTGTATGTTGAACAGTTTGTTGGGCATTACCCATCAACACTGCACGTCTCAGAAGAGCTGAGCTGGCAACAAATATGTACTAAAGGTCTCTGCTGCAAATCAGACACACCTAGAATGTGAGGAAATATGTCAGCATTGGGTGTAGCTTTTTTTAACTTAGTTTTTTTTTTTATTTGTTTTTTTTTCACTTCCCAGAAACTCAAACAGTCTTTTCAAGAATTCCCAGGCTGTTTTTCACAGCTGTGCCTATGTGGCTTACAGGCAAACAATAAATTAAAATAAACCTTTGTAGCTTGAAGTATTTATTTTGAAATAAAACAGTTAGGAAAAGGGAATGTTGGACAAAAAAGGCTAGAATAAAAAAGGTGAAGGTTGGGGAGGGGAGTTGCATGTGTGTGTATGCAGAGGCGTGATGTTTGTATAGAGTCAGGTGGGGGAGATAAAGACATATATATATACAGTAAGATATGTAGGCGGATTTCAGTTACCTCACTATGTTAGTCTGGAGATAGCAGGGCCCTGTCTTTTAATAAATATTTCTTTTAGGAGTCTCAAGGAGTACGTTATCTGTTCCATCTGTTCCATTTCCCATGCCTTCTCAGTCTACAGTACATATTTTATGTCAGGGGTCAGGGTTTAACCACTTAAACTGATGCATTTAAGTGCTGCTGTTGTCAAATGCTGTTGCCCTGCAGTGTTAGACCGAATACTGCTATCCTTGAATCTTTTGTCAGATTTTAGTCAAATATTTTCTTAAGTGCCTCAAAAATCTCTCCAAAATGTACTTAACTTACTGCATTTCCAAAATATGTGGGTACAGTTGCCAGTTTGTGCACCACAGTTTATCAGGTGTCGCTTTGTGCCATAGATTGTACCAAAAATTTGAGAAAACAGTCTCACCCCAAGGCCCAATCAGTAAAAAAAAAAAAAAAAAAGTATCATCAAACAAAATGGTTTGATACCTGAACCATACCAAACTGTAGTTGTGAAATATATTCACATGGGGTTTGGAAGAAGTTGTGAGCAGCAGCAGGAGCTTTCTTATTAAGAGAACGCCACAGAGATGTGATTATATAATTCATGGAGGATATACAGAAAATTAGTCTACATATGACGTTACATAATACGTTATGGAACAAGACAGTTACCATGGATGTAACTGTAAGCTCCTTGTTTATACTACACCAGCCAGACAGTCATAAAATACATTAAAGGGATAGTACACCCAAAAATGAAAATTCAGCCATTATCTACTCACCCATATGCCGATGGAGGCTCAGGTGAAGTTTTAGAGACTTCAGGAGATCCAAGGGGAGAGGGGCTAGCAACACAACTCCACCTAATGGAGGCTTACGACGCCCCAGATTCAAATGTCCAAAAACACATAATTGAAACCACAAAATATCTCCATACTGCTCGTCCGTAGTGATCCAAGTGTCCTGAAGCCCAGACATAAAAAGTTGTTTGGAAAAACGTCATTTGAACTCTGTTTTTAGCCTCATTGTAGCCTGTAGCTCTGACTGCTTCTCTGTGCTCCGTGCTCACGTGTGCACACGAGACCAGCAAAAGCACATGAACAACTTTTTATGTCTGGGCTACAGGACACTTGGATCACTACAGACGAGCAGTATGGAGATATTTTGTGGTTTCAATTATGTGTTTTTGGACGGTTGATTCTGGGGCGCCATAAGCCTCCATTAGGTGGAGTTGTGTTGCTACCACCTCTCCCCTGGGATCTCCGCAAGTGTTGTGAGGACTCTAAAACTTCACCTGAGCCTCCCTCGGCATATGGGTGAGTAGATAATGGCTGAATTTTCATTCTTGGGTGCACTATCCCTTTAAGTGTCATTCACATATTCTGTTTTTGTTTGAAGCATATTAAACAACTACATACTTAATTCAGTAGGAAGTCATCCTGTGTTTTGTGTTTTGTGTCTGTCTTTACAAACATAATTTAAAAACTCATTCATGTTCACTTTTTTTTCTTTCTTTCTTTCTTTCTTTTCCTCCCTCCATCTTCTCCGTCCTCTTTATTTGATCACCAGAGAGGGATGTCGCATTGAGAATGTTCAAAAGAATATTAGAGCCAGGAAATATGCCTTCAACATGTTGCAGCTGATGGCCTTTCCCAAGTGCTACCGACCACCGGAGGGGACGTACGGCAAAGTTGACTCTTGAGGCCATAAGCCGTGTACTGTAAAACAAAAGCTTCAAATGTAAAAATGTTTTATTGTTCGTAACCAAAACAAAAAAAGTGCTGGATTTTATATTTTGCTGATGGTTGTTTAGTTTTTGGTTGCTCTGTTTTCTTTATATGTTATTATGTGGTTATGTGTTATTCCGTTCCCAAGCTGGATTTGCCAACATGTTATGTGTAAAATTGATGCACTTTTCATTGTTGCCTTTTTTATTTTTCATGACCTGAGCAGTGATAAACAGTAACAGTGTAACTGTGGTCACACCATAGTGTGTGGGTCATCTCTGTGTGTGGCTGCACAGTACGTTAATGATCTGTTTTAAGACTTCAAGCAGTGCATTTGTATGACTAAAGAATATGTAGTATTAACTTAAAGGTCCAATACCAGCTTGGTCTGAACTGTTTCAGAGGTGATGACATATAAGAAAGCTCCACCCACTGACTGATTGTCTTAAAAGTTTTCAACAGTTATTGGACTTTTGAGTTGAGACTGTTTTTGTTAAAGCAGTGCGTCACTCACAAAATGACCATTTGTATATTAATAAGTCACGCAGTGTTACCCTAAATTTGAGAAATAACTTTTTGTGCATGCCTTGACAAAAAAAAAGGTGAACATATTGATTTATTGACTGATTGAGGACCACGTTTAACAGCAGCAAAACTATATTAAAACATCCGTTTACAAACTCGCACACAACTTGTGCAGTATAATCCAAGTCTCATTTATCCAGTCGTATGCTCAGTACTTCCCAAACACATGCAGGTTCGCTTGAAAAAACAACCTTAGTATCAGAGTCTGGCTTTGAAGAGAGCATAGATAAGTTTCTTATCTAAGAGTTCAGTTTGAAATATTAAGGTTTAAGCGAAAGTGCAAGTGTTTGGAAAGTACTGAGCATATGACTAGACAAATGAGACTTGGATTATACTGCACAAGTTGTATGAGAATTTGTAAACTGATGTTTTGATATAGTTTTGCTGACGTTAAAGGTAGTCCACAATCATTTAATAAATCAATATGTTCACTGTTTTCTGTGGAGTCATGCAAGACAAAGTTTTCTTAATGAATTCAAGGTAACACGGCTGACTAACTAATACACAAATGGTCATTTTTTGGGTGAAATATTTCTTTAGGTTAATTGATAACTCTAAATTGTCCATAGGTGTGAATGTGAGCGTGAATGGTTGTTTGTCTCTATGTGTCAGCCCTGTGATAGTCTGGCGACCTGTCCAAGGTGTACCCTGCCTCTCGCCTGATGTCAGCTGGGATGGGCTCCAGCCCCCCCGCGACCCTCAAGAGGATGAAGCGGTTAGAAAATTAATGAATATACTGTTCCCAAGGCCAAGAATGAACATCCATGCCTCAGTTATTTTTGTGGTATAAATACTGCTCTCCACAAACTGTTTATAGCCTCATTCCATGTTTGGATGTACCAAGTTTTACATGACGAATGTGCAACATTCAGAACTGAAATTGTATCATGCTCTACAGCAGTGGTTCCCAACTGGTGGGTTGCAGTCCAGAAGTGGGTCTTGGGTCCATCCTGAAGGCAAGTGACTCGCAAACATGTCAAGTTTGCAAACATCACACTTTATATTTAAGTACAGTGAATTTCCGGTACAGAGCTTTTATTTTAAAGTGCTGTTTCCTGCTGTAAAGTGAGGAGTAACACACAGCTTCGTGACAGAGACAGCATACTAGCTCGACAACATGGCCAAACACAAGTATGATGCTGAATATATTAAACTGTGTGGACCTTGAACTAATGACTAAGGAGAAATCTGGACCCTGTGGCAGGACCAGTTGGGAACCACTGCTCTACAGAATTTCATCCATTCCCGCAGTTCTTGAACAACTGATCTGCAAATTGTTATAGCATCACATATTCAGGTCTAAACTTTGCCTGTTTTTTATTTCTTGACTTTTGCATATGTATTTTCATTCATGTGTAATAACAAACCAGTATTTCAACCTGTTTCCTAACTCATCCCACTTTCTTAATGGTTGCACCTGAGCTTTTTCCATAGTATTTTTATATCTCGAGGTACAGGCCAGCGAAACCACATGAGGCACAGGAGGAAGTTAGATCAGGATGAGGACCATCGTTTCTAAATGCTATGTGTCAAATTCAATTATTTATTTTTGTATTTTTAAGTGATTTTATATTCCAAGGGTTGCTGCCTTGGACTTTAATGCATGTTTGAAATGTATTTGTTGTGTTATACTGTACATTGGATATTTACAATTGTCTATTTGAAATTAAATAAAACAATGAATTGACGTGGATATTTGTGATTGTCAAAAGTCAAAAGTCTGATGAAGAGCCTGACGCTCGAAACGTTACTCATCTGAATAAATTTCGACTGAGCATTGGAGCCCTGCAGTGTGCGAGCTGTTTGATTTCTCTGTTATTTGTGATTGTATAATGATGGACGTGTAATGTTTTTCACACTGTTTTCATTTAATTTCACGGGCATGTGTTTAATTGAACAGTTAAATGAGTCATAATATAATCCATATGTTGCATTAAAAATATTAACAACTTGCAAGATATATTCAAGTTAAGTATTCAAAGAGATCATTTTTGTGTGTGTGGTTAAAATGAGAAAAACCTTTAAAAATGTATGTTCAATTAAAACCTTTAGATACCAAACACTACACTTACCCAAATATGATACCAAAAAATTGTATTTTCAGTATCAAATACTTGACTTGCTTTCTCCTTCAACAGCAGCTGCAGTCAACCTTCATTCACAGAAATAACTTTAGATTCCAGTGGTGACCCCGGGGTCAAGGCAAAAGAAAAAAAAATCATGGTACATGTTTAAAAAAAAAAAAAAAATCAAAAATTGCACCTGAAGCATAACTCTCTCCTCTGCTCCTCATCTGTATGCTCAGTATGTTTATGTAGTCCTCCCTCAACCAGTAAATCACCCTCACTTCTGGCAGAGCATCGCAGCTAAGTGAAGCGGGTACACAGAAGGAAGTGTGTTTAGCTGTGCTGCAGGAAAAGAGCCAGGAATGTTTGGTAAACACTGAACATACTCTGACAAAAGACAGGTGGATTATGCTGCAGAGGCCGTTTAGATTTGATGCTTGTTTTACAGATTATCGGATCACATTACAGTTAGCATACTCTCAACATGATGAGCAGGATGTTCAGTCTTGTTTTAATCATGTTTTAATCTGTGTTTAAGTTTATTTTAGTCATTTTCCAACCTGTACAACTCAAATACACATGAGAGAAAAATAATAATAACAATAAGTAATCATTACTTTTGAAGCAGTTACAAACCAATGCTGACCGAAAAGGTGTTGGCTGAAGCCTCAACGTACTGCACCTACCCTTTTTACATTAATTGTTTTGTACCTGTTTCTATCAGGCGGCACGGTGGTGCAGTGGTTAACATTGCCGTCTCACAGCAAGAGGCTGCCTGGCTTGGACCCATGGTGGGAGAGCCCTTCGGTGTAGAGTTTGCATGTTCTCCCCGTGGCAGCATGGGTTTGCTCCGGGTACTCCAGCTTCCTCCCACAGTCCAAAGACATGCAGGTTAATTGGTGACTCTAATTTGTCCGTAGGTGTGAATGTGAATGTGAATGGTTGTCTGTCTCTATGTGTCAGCCCTGCAATAGTCTGGCGACCTGTCCAGTTTGTACCCCGCCTCTCGCCCAATGTCAGCTGGGATAGGCTCCAGCCCTGCTGACTCTAATTTTGAACACCTTCTGTGCACAGTCTGGAAGCAGCTTACTTTTTTACTTATACATTCAGTTTTATAGTTCACAAAAATCTCTTAAATTGAGAGCATGTGAATTAATAATTTTACCAGTTTTAACAGCTGCTGAACTTCGGACCTGGGCCTGACCCAACTAGAGGCCACATTTTTATTTATTTCATCAATTACTGTTGTGTTCAGCAGGTTAATACAATTCATTGACCACGCTCTGTCTCTTCTTTCCCACTGGGCAATAGTAGTAAACAGTTGGCACAGTCAGAGGGAGAGAAGAGAAATGTTTTTAAATAACCAAACATGAACCCAACCAATCCAAGCCCAAAGACATACCCAAAAAATCAGCCTAAACCCAAACTGAAACCTGATACTGTGTCTGAACCTATCAGGTTTCTGTCTGGCAGTAGAACTTTAGAATAAAGAGCTGATTTCCCATTATGGATTCACTGTTGCCAAGCTCAGTTTCAATCTGATGTCATTATTAGTGTTATCCAATGACTCATATTCATCACTGTTGGAATTTTATTTGGAAAGGCCTCTAATGTGGTCTGTTTAGAGGAGCTCTTTGATGAATACACAGAGGAATATATACATAGTTATGAAGCAGAACCATTGCTATTAATAAATACACTTTTCATGCTACAAGAAGTTAAAATATCCTTTGTCCTTTCTGAAAATTAATCTGTACATGCAGGTAATAACAGCATGCTGCTTTCATTTTGTGCAGATGTCTGATATCTTAGCTTCATCACAGACCTGGACTTCCTCCAACGTAATTTCAAAAGTGGTTTTGTTGTAGTTTTATTTCATTTTCATTTTCAACATAAGGGTCGTGTGTTTAACATTTCTGTTAGACGAGTTCAAAAGGCAGTTTGTTTTTTTTTTTTTAAAAAAGTGTTTTATGCGGAAAGGAATGTGCTCAGCATGTTTGCTTAACCTCAAGGATACACAATGCACTTTGGTGAGTGTGGCTGCATTCAGACCAATTTCAGCCTTGCAATGCTTCCTTATTCTTTTGAATGAGGTCAGTCTGTCAACGTTTTGGCTTCTCTAAAATAACTAGCCCAGTTGATAAAGGAAATATTGGCATTGTGATTTTCTGAAAATCAAGAATACGTCACATTTGCACATTTCATGCAGGTCATATTTCTGATGTGGCATAGTTTATGAGCTGACTTTGTCATCAGAAGGGATGGTGGATGCCATGGGACCTAGGCAAGAAGCCTGTCCAGCTGTAGATCACAGTTCAAGACCCAACAAACAACAAACCAGACCCAACAAACAACAAACCAGTCACTGTTTTTCCATCGTGGATAGTGCCACGAAAAGTGGTCGTTGTTTTACTGAGACATTGTGCAACCAAAACCAGATATTTTAAACCAAAACGCAACCACAGTGTTGTTAAAATATAACGTTTCAAGGTATCTGGTACATAATAACGTGCAAATGTAACATATCTGTGGCTAGCACAAACATACAATGCCAACATTTTTTCGACGATTGGTTAAAAAAAAGCACAGGGTCGCCCAATCATCTCACATGATGCTGTGTTGGCCAATAAATACATCCAAGCACACATTCTTGGAGGACTATTTTTGAAACATGAACCTGATATTTCTACCTCATGATTGCTGGATGAAAAATACAATTATTGCCACCATGATATCCTTCAAGAGTTGTAAAATCCCATGCGTTTAGGTATCTGATAAGCCTTCAAACTCAGATCTATTACTCATACGGGCCTCTTTGGATCATATTTCATGTCTCATCATTATCTGACACAACACACCCGTACCAGCACAGCTGCACACATTTTTTTAATGCAGGACTGTTTTTAGTATGAATGCCTATGAACAAACCTTAAAGGGCAGCTTTAACAAACACTTAATATATAAAAGAAATACAATGAAAGACATAGTTATATTATTTACTGAAGTGAGGAACTGTTTTGGATATACTGGAGTCCATAAGGAATATACTGTATAATAGGTGTTACATTCAGTAGTGTTTAGCAGTGAGCTTAACCCTATGGGCCCTAGGCGTTTTTTGGGGGCATTTTTACTGCCTTTACTTTTAAGCACATATCACAGTCATTATAAAGGCTACATATACATGCTATATCTTGGGTTGTTTTTTTTTTTTTTTTTTTTTTTTTCAGGACAATCTGGGCTATCCAGATTTGCCATCATTACATGTCCTTCTATGTGCCTGTATTTTATATTAAATTTTACATCAATGAAAAAAAAAATCTTACATTTTTACATGTATCTCACCATAGCAAGTTGGAAGTAGACATTCCGCCATATATTAAGAGGGGAGACTCTCTGGAATCTGGCAATATAAGAACCATGATGTCATTCTGTGACAAACGTGGTTTATGCCAGGTGGACATATTTGCCAGTATTTTTTCATTATTGCAAGAAATTCCACTGACTCATTCACAAGTCAAAAATGTGTTTTATTTGAAAGAGACATGCAATATTTACATCAAAGATAACAGAAAAATAGTAATAATATTATTCCTCACTATTTGAAGTGACTGATGACAAGATCTGTATAATGGATTGTAAAGAAATTTGTCAGGTTTTTATTTTGTAGACAATTGATCTGTATTTATAGCATGATGGGATGACAGCACAATGATGTGTTCGCCAGTAATCCATCCAAGAGTAATGTGTGTGCAAAGCTGTATGAAAGCTTTGTTATACATAATTTTAGTGTAACTTTATCATTGTTTTTCCTTGTAAAAACATTGGACTACCGACAAGCTTCTCGCTACGACGCATGGTAGAGAACTGGCATGAATTTGGACGCACTTTGCGTCATTCGGGCCCATAGGGTTAATAATATAATACATTCTGTATATACAGTACAAGCTGCTTCCTGATACTTCTCTCAAAACTGTACAACAGGAAGGCAGATTATGATGCACAGTCACAGAGATTTCATCTGTACAGATAATAACAGTCAACTGCCGGAGATGCAGTGCTGTCATCCTATAGATTTAAACTGTTTTAAAATACAGGACGGCATGGAGTGTCGCATGTCGACATAGTTACAGTGTAATACTGACAAAAATAAAAAGAGCCACAGTACTTTACAGATATATACAAATACACATTTGTAGCTTACAGTATATACATCATGTTACGTTTTTCGAGTATTCAACCGTGTGGTCATTTCTTCCAAAAGGTTATTTAGTCTGTCCAGGAATACTGTAATATTTTTAAGGGAGTATGCTTCACATGGTAGGCAGCCAACCTAAAATTTAAAAGAGACACAATAAAACACATTTTTAAACGTTAATAAAATAAATTTTGGGAAAAAATAAATAAATAAATAAAAGCTAATATGGCACAGAAGCTTTGTATAATGTCATATGTTTCACTGGTGAGAAAGAAATTAATGTATCAGCTGTAAAGCGCCTAATTTGCTGAAGAAAACTGAAATTATCTCCTTGCGGTAGTATGTCTCTGTGAACCAGTCAAGTTGCACCCACAGTTTACATCCATGCCCATGTTGGATGTTTGTGCCAAATTAGAGAAAATTTCTTCAAGGCCTTCGTGAGATATCACGTTCACAAGAATGAGACAGACGGGGTCACCGTGACCTTGACTTTTTATCACCAAAGTCTATTCAGTTAATCGTTGGATCCAAGGGGACGTTTCTGCCAAATTTGGAAAAAAAATCCCCCAAGGTGTTCTTGAGGTATTGCATTCACGAGAATGAGATGGGTGGGGTCAGAGCGACCTTGACCTTTGACCACTACATTCTTATCAGTTCATCATTCAGTCCAAGAAGACGAGAGATTGCGACAGATGGACGGATGGACAACCTGAAAACATCATGCATCCAGTTTTTACACACCAGTGATGACTGATGTTTACGGCAGAATTTCAATTAAACGCCCAGTCCCTTTTACTAGCCCAATGTGGCTACACATTTTGACAAATAAAGACCTGTCTCCATCAGACGCCCAGTCTGGTTGCCAAGCAGGTCATTTTTTATAGAAGTTCTTTGGATGTATAAGACCAGATTGTTGGTTGTTGACCCACTTGAGCTAATATTAGACAGTTGTTTAGATCGCATGTAGAGATATTATTGTTAAACTTTGGCCAATATGCTACACATCAGTTAGATTGTCTACAATTCAATCGTTCATTTTATTTGTAGTTTTTCTTTTTTTAGTTTAGTTTATTTAAGAAAGGACAGTGCAAATTAATAAATACACATGGTATAAAAAAGCCAGAATTAGCCAAAAGGCTATTTATCAGCTGTAGTGTTAATCAAATAATGGCACGGGCTACTAATTAAAGTGTTACGATACCGGGTTCATCTGTGGTTATGTGAGCAGGTAGTTTAATAGTACAGACACTCTGAGGAGTATTTCATTCACAGGACTTACAGGTTTGGCTGTTTGACCCAGTGTGTCGTTGAAATCAAATATGCAGTTTACGTCACGCATAACTTCTTCTTCATTGATGACCATCATCAACTCCAACATGTAACATCTGAGCGACATGATTTTACATTTCTCCTAGAACAGAGAGAGAGACACATGCCTCAGTAAGCATAAATACAGTTACAGATGTGTATTACATTAACAGTTAGAAACAGGACTTAATGTGTTTGTGTTTTTTGTGTCAGGCTTTTGTGCACATCATGCGGGTGTTAACAACTTTGAGGCTGCAACTTCAACAAAGTTCAACAAGATGTAATGAATTCTGTTTTAAGCAGGTTCTTTATAAAAATATTACTGCTCTCCTGTGTAAGCTTATGTCAATGTGGCGTTTCAATTTTCAGTCTTAACGGATGAGGTTGGCATTATTCTATGGTTTTGTTTTGTTTTGGTCTCTGGAGCTCTGGAGAGCTCCTTCAGCGATAGACTGATGATAGACAAGTGTGTGAAGGAATGCCATCGCAGGTCCTTCCTGCCTGCTGCTGTCAGGCTACATAACCAGCACTGCTCACAGTAAACTGCACCATGGAAACTTTATTGACACTATGGACACTTTATGGACACCACAGCTGTCTGCTGTTTTGCACATACAATCACTTGCACTAGATGTGCTCCCTTTATCCACTGCTCATTTTCATTCACTGCTGCTCATTATTATCCACTTCTCATTATCATTATTACTATTATTATTGTTATTTATCACCATTTCTTGTATTTTTGTACTTATTTTGCATGCCTAGTTTTTTAAGTTTTAGGTTTTTAAGTTTAAATTTGAAATCTTTAATCTGACTCTTTCCCCTTGACTGCTGTAACACTGGAATTTCTCAATTATGGGATCAATAAAGGTGTATCTTATCTTATCTTATCTTTTATTTTTACCTCTTGCTCTATAATTTGCTCAGTCAGTCAGTCCACAAAAATTCCCCCACCCTCGGGTGGCCACAGTTTTGTCGCCCTATGAGGCGAATTATAGGCTTTATTATCATCAACAAATCCCATGAAAAGACGAAAACAAAAATTGCCTCAGTCAGACCTCACCTGTCAGTACTGTCTGACTGCTTTGTCTGTGGTGCTTAGTCCATTACTGCTACTGCAGATGCAAAGTTTCAAAATGGTCACAAATACAGGATGGTTTCATTTTTAAACAAAACTAAGAGTCAGCTGTAATGACAGCAGCGCTGTGAGGATGTACTTAGTCACAGTGGTGCTAACCACAAATGCTGACATCAGCATGCTAACATGGTCACAGTTACAATGTTACTGTACTCTATTTTATGATTGGTTTTAACTAATGTAAAGTGTCTTTGAGTACCATAAAAAGCGCTCTGTAAATATAATGTAGTATTATTATTACCATTATCATTACTAAGTGACGAGTTCAGACCATAACGGAAAAAGAAAAATATATCATACGCAGCTCAGAGTAATCTCAGTCCACGGCTCTCATTGGAAAAGAGTTGGCAACACTGGTCATTACCAGTCATCCTCTCTGGACCATAAATGTCTTTATGAAATTTTATGGCAATTGATCCATTAGTGTTGAAATTCAGTCAGAACCAAAGAGGTGGACCAACCCACATCCACAGAGTCATCCCACCAACGTGGCTAAGAAAGTCACTACACAGACAATACTGCGTCAATAGCATCAATTTTTTTTTATTGGTTTTGGTTGTTTTCATAGGGTTTGTGGACAATAAGAAAAACAGTATATGGTACATCGCAAACCTCCTCCTTTATGTCTTGGGACTTCGACAGGGGGTCCTCAGAGTTACTGCGGGTCAAATTATTGTTTGGTATTTTAATGAAGTTTTCATTAAAGGGTTTTTAGTTATGTTTTGTTTTGTTTCAAAAATGTAAATATGTCCGAAAATACATATTAATGTGATTCCAACATTTCATTAGTAAAGATAAATTAGCCTATTAAAAAAAAAACTATTAATTTACAGTATACAACACTGACTATAGGCAAACAGTTAGCTAGCTAATGCGAACTCACTGTATAGTACCTGTGTATAGCAGCGAGGCGAACTAGTCAACAGTTACAAATTATTGAAACATGGTGGCCACTTAGCTATACATTTATTTCATGTGTACGGACATACTTGTAAGCCACAACGAGTCGTTCTGTAACTTTTCGAGCAAGAGACTCCTGAAATACCATCCACCTCAGAAACAAACACACTGTAATGTGTATGAATCTGCCAGTAAATGGAGCGACGTCTGTGAGCTAGTTCAGGCAGTCAACTCAAGCTGCACTAATTCATACTCACACGTCATACGTCACTCCCCATATGTCATCTACAAACACACCCTCCAAATTTGGCGGTCTATTTAAGCTGCAAAATCTTCCCAGCTCTCCCTTTGCATTGTCTGTGCTGCTGCTGCCCTGTATCAGTTCTGCCGCTTGCTCTTTCAGCCCCACCTCCACCCCAGCATCCATATGCAGGCAAAAGGTTTGATCATCACTTCCCAATATTTCATGTAAACATATCTGCGGGAAGTGATGAGGCCGGAGTCTAGACGCCAAACTCTAACTATGTTCTGCTGTTGAAATAAATATTTAAACGTGAGTTGTCTGACTGAACTATTACTTTGATAGCTTAGTATTTTATGCACCATAAAATGGTATACTTATGATCTTTTCATAGCTTCCTGACTATAATCAAAACTGAAATGTTAACATGTACCTTTACAACTTACTTCAACGTCATTAGCTGACGGAGCATACAGCATAGCGTCAGATTTCTGAAAAGGAGTAGGAAAAAAAATAACAAAATTACATAGATGCTTACAAATATTAAACAAAAACTATCCACTACACGTGTAAAAAGGATACAAGACAGGAAAGTGTCAACAAAAGCCCTGTTTCCACCAAATACTTTCGGTATGGTACCTTTGGAACCAAAAGTAACCCTACAGACATGGTACCTAGACCCTTGGTCCACTTAGCGTTTCCACCACAAACAGTACTCTTAAATGTAGGCGGGGTTGTTGTCACTCACTGCTCTGCCCAGCACTCACTGTATTTCCTCGTTTATCATCCACAGAACAAAATTGCACGCCGACATTTTCAGAACAAAATAAAACAGGCTGCAGTGAGAGTCTCTCTCCATGGGATATTTAAAGGCGCTGTATGTAAGAATGTGGCCAAAACGGTTACTGCACTCAAATTCAAAATACTGCCGCGAGTTGTGTCCGCCCCCCCTCCCCTACAGATTCGAGGTTGCTGCTCTGTGCTGAATTGCTGCGTTGTGCTCCGGCGTCCGGCAAAAATAGAAGTCCTGCGTATCTGTTGCGGGGGGCTCCGGAGTGCCGCAGCAGAGACGGAGCCGGAACGCAGCACAGTCGCAACCGGTGGAAACACACATTGACTAGAACTGAATCCTATCGGCTCTGCTACCATGCCGGAACGCAGATGCAACCAACACGCATCTGGTGGAAATTGGGGGTGATTTGTTTGCCCACGGGCGGCTGCCATGGCAGGGCCACGTCGCCGCGTCCTTGATCTTTGGTTTTCCAGCGGACCGTTCGAGCAAGTCCGGCTTCTCTGCTGCTAACACTGCTGCCGGGATACAGCTGAGGAGACTGCTAATGCTAATACTATGTACCGGGACACTGCTAATGCTGTTTGCCGTGCTGCTGTAGCTCAGTCGTAACTGTAACTGATGGGTGGTGGGTGGCGCAACAGGCCAAAACACAAATTCAAAACATAAACATGATTTGCAGACCGTAAATTTTTTTTTTAAATGCGAATATTCTGGCTGTACTATTGTTGTCGGTGAGATCAGTATGTTATATGAACATTATTCCTTAGTCTCTGTGACATATTAGGAGGATTTTATGACTATTTGCTTTAGATTTCTTACATATAGCTCCTTTAAAAATAACGGGTTTGTGCGTTTAGTCCTTCTCAGGCAAGCTCAGGGGTTTAATGTTGCCTGTGCCCACAAGAGCAACGCTCCGCAATGCTTTTTTTTCTCAGAGTAAGGATTAGAAAATATGCAGTTGAAATTTAAGGTGTGCTGATGGCTTCTCGTCATCATCTCATACATTGAGTAACATTACAAGTTAACGTTCCACCTTAAAAGTCGCTGGCAGTCGGCCCAGTGAATTAAGTTATTTTCTTTCCAACTACAGCTGCTGCAAGAGGCAGCAAAACATCCTTAGTTACACTTAACTAATAAAACTCTCCTCGGTATGAACAGTGAGCTTCAAAACCTGCCAAGACTCGGCCCTGAGCAGTAGTAATGACAGCAGAGTGATCGTCCACTATTGACCAAACAACAGACACACAGTGTTCACAGTTCCACCTTTTAGTACCAGATCTGTGTGCTACGTACCCCAACAGAGGGGTGACCAAAAATGGTGACGATATGGAACGGTTCCTTTGGTACCATCTAGGCCTGGGACAATCAGCGATCAAATCGTATATTGGCAATTGGAGGGTTGCCAGGCGATTTGCTGGATATCAAGGCGATTTTGAAAAAAGAAAGGAAAAAAAACAAAAAAAACAAAAACGGCGCTCTACCGTGCATTAAGAGATGTTTTTTGGGGAAATACATGACTGTCAGAGAAGCAGAGAAGCCCCGTTTACAAACAGATCTACAATCCATCTCCTCTCCTCTCCTTTCTCTCTTCTCAGCGGAGGGTGCCCTGTCAGCCCTGCGCTGACAGTGACAGGGCGCATCTCTTTGATCCAAAGTGACACAGCCCATTTGCTCATGCTTCGGGGTCCTTCAATAGAGTAATTGCAAATAAATATTGTTTTAATGTGTAACTATTGAAATGTTCACAAGGGCTTTCATAAATTTGCAGGTTAAAAGTTAACGACAGCGACTTGAAGTGAGGAGGAGCAACATGTCTCCGGCTTGTCAGCACAGCGGTACCAACACCGCTGCGCTGACAAGCTGGAAACGCTCAATTTTGCATGTGATGCAAAATATTAAAATAACATGGTAGTGATTGACGTAAGACACGTGCCAAGGACGTAACCCCCAAGTGCCAAGGACGTAACCATGAAATTTAGAGGCAATCGCACAGCCCTAGTACCATCCACAACTTTTCACAGTGGAAACAGAAAAAAAAGTGTACTGAACTGCTTGGTGGAAACGGGGCTTAAGTATCAGAGACCATAAAAATACGATGGTTTCTTCATATGATATAAAACAAATCCTTATATCATAGGTAGTAAAAGATAAACATAACCAAAATGTTATTTTATTTGATACCTTCTCTCACCTCAATGGAGGGTGTCAGCCTCTCCAAGCATTTCTGAACATGTGGTGTACTGGGCACGTAGGCAGCACACGCAGATGTACTCAAGAAGCTTTAAGAGAACAAGGAGACATTGATTAAAAAAAACATAGCAACTATGCAGATATCTGATGTTTTGGGTCCTCGCAGCACCGGCTGTAAAAGTAGACAGATGTTAAAAAAATTACTGTACAATGACCCACTGTTACTTTATGCTGCTTACTGAGCTACGAGTTGTATCTTGCAGACTCCGCTGTCAGTTTGTTTGTCGGCGTGTTGCCATTGTGCTGGTGGTGATTACGCAGTTACATAAAAGCAAGTGAGCCAGTGATGTGTACATAATAAATGAGTCCCTTCTGTATGGATGAGTAATATCAAGTCAATCAGGATGTTTTTTTGGGATGAGACTTATCTCGTGAATTCTTCGGAACAATTTTCTTTCATGAGTAAAGTAGAGTATCTCACATAGCTTGTGTATTTTTTTGTCTGTGTGTTTTTCAAGCTTAACTGTTTATTACAGAAACATTTCCTCTGTCATTTTTAAGTATGATAACCAATATTTCAATTATGGAAAAATGAGTCACACACTGTATGCCTACCTCAGAACTAAGAAACAAAGCCAGACCTGAGTTTTGTGGCTCTCTCGGCACTGGTTACAGGTCAGCAGGAACTGGACGCTTTTCTAGAAATAAGACAAGGAAATGTTAGTGTGTCGTCCTTCAGGTTACCCTGTCAAGCTTGAGTGAAACTGTTCATTAATACGATAAAAACCAACAACATACAGTACAGGCCAAAAGTTTGGACACACCTTCTCATTCAATGCGTTTTCTTTATTTTCATGACTATTTACATTGTAGATTCTCACTGAAGGCATCAAAACTATGAATGAACACATGTGGAGTTATGTACTTAACAAAAAAAGGTGAAATAACTGAAAACATGTTTTATATTCTAGTTTCTTCAAAATAGCCACCCTTTGCTCTGATTACTGCTTTGCACACTCTTGGCATTCTCTCGATGAACTTCAAGAGGTAGTCACCGGAAATGGTTTTCCAACAGTCTTGAAGGAGTTCCCAGAGGTGTTTAGCACTTGTTGGCCCCTTTGCCTTCACTCTGCGGTCCAGCTCACCCCAAACCATCTCGATCGGGTTCAGGTCCGGTGACTGTGGAGGCCAGGTCATCTGCCGCAGCACTCCATCACTCTCCTTCTTGGTCAAATAGCCCTTACACAGCCTGGAGGTGTGTTTGGGGTCATTGTCCTGTTGAAAAATAAATGATCGTCCAACTAAACGCAAACCGGATGGGATGGCATGTCGCTGCAGGATGCTGTGGTAGCCATGCTGGTTCAGTGTGCCTTCAATTTTGAATAAATCCCCAACAGTGTCACCAGCAAAACACCCCCACACCATCACACCTCCTCCTCCATGCTTCACAGTGGGAACCAGGCATGTGGAATCCATCNGGCTATGAGGATTAGGAACAGTGAAAACTTTTCAGATATCCCAGCTATTAAATCTGTGGATGGTAATATCAGTACTGACCCCAAACAGATAAATGTAGTACTTCAAACGTTTTATTGTGATTTATATAAGTCAGAGGTGCCCTCGGACAAAAACCGGTGTGACATATTTTTGAATCAATTACATTTGCCCCAACTTTCAAGAACAGATTCAGCCAATTTAGATAACACCAACTAGCTTTATATGCAGACGACGTATTAGTATTTCTAGAAAATCCTGCTCAGTCTGTATCACACCTCTTGTCCATCTGCGAGGAGTTTGGAAATTTGTCAGGTTTTAGAATTAATTGGTCTAAGTCTGCTTTCCTACACTTGAATGATTCTGCCAAAACATTTGTCCTTCCTGTTAATATCCCCATAGTGCAACAGTTTAAATATCTGGGAATTGAGATTTTTTCTTCTCTGAATCAGATTGTTAAATATAATTATTTACTTGCTCTGAACAAGGTCCTAAGGGACATGGACCAGTGGATTGGTCTTCCTATCTCTATTCGGGCTCGTGTCTCTATTATAAAAATGAATATCTTGCCTAGGATTAATTTTGTCAGCGCTATGGTCCCTCTTCCCCCTCTATCTGATTATCAGTGCTTAAAGCACATGGCGTCCCCTGGCAGTGTTCTTTACCTATTCACCCACTGCGAGAGCTATTTGCTAAGCAGGCTAAAACTACGTATGGTATCCAAATTATACAATTTTTTGCTGGTAACAGACATTCCCACACTTCGAATAGAGAGGGTCTGGAGAAGAGATTGCCCAGATCTAACCCAAGATTTTGATTGGGATGTAGTGTGGTCCAGCATTCGTGAAGCATCACGCAACCCAGACCATCAGCAAATTCATTTTAATTTTTTACACAGAATATACCTTACCCCTGTCAAACTTCATCACATGAAAATTATTAATGATTCTTTTTGCAACCTGTGCCCTTTAAAAGCTCAGGGCACATTTATTCACATGTTTTGGGACTGCCCTCCTGTTGGACAACTATGGAGCAATGTTGCATCCAAACTATCTGACTTGATACAAGAAACAGTACCTGTTAATATGCGTGTGTTGGTTTTGAATGACCTGTCAACTCTTAATATTTCCAAGCTCAAAAAGCGTGTAATTTTTGCCGGACTGACAGCAGCCAAGAAAATGATTGCTACTCACTGGAAGCCACCTCATTCTCTCACTATCAAATCTTGGACTCTTTCTTTTCTGGATGTTGTATATATGGAATTTTCAGCAGCCCGAATTAATGGTGCTAATGACAGCACTCTAAATGCCTGGCGTAGTACTGCTGATTCTCTGAAAGATATGCTGTAAGATCAATTTTTTTACCACCTGCTCTCTCATTCCTGTGTCCCTGGATGTCAAGTTCCCTCTGTTTTGTTTTGTATGTTTTTGTGTGTGTCCTGTGGGTGTGTGTCTGTGTCTGTCTATGTGTGTGTATATTTTCACGTTATGTATGCACTTTATTTTTAATTTTCAGGTTAACTATTTATTTTCCTCATTGTTGTCTCTTTGGGCAATTATCCACTTTTTTATTTTATTTTATGATTAATAATGATACTACTGCTGTGTTCTGTGGTATCCCATGGCACGTTCCTTTGTCTTGGACCCACTGGATGCCTACTGTGAAAATTGAGACTGTGTGCTGTAATGTTGAATCCCTAAAAGTTTTGGCGTGCTTCTTTTTGACTTTTTGTCAAACTTTAATAAAAATTTGATCGCAAAAAAAAAAAGAAAATACAGATGTTGACAAACTTTTCTAAAATTAGTAGATTAAAAAAGGTGATAAATTGCAACATATCGCAATATATATTATTGCAATATTCAGCATGTTTGAAATCGCAATAACATTGTATCATGACTAAAGTATCGTGATGTGATCGTATCTTTGTGCCTCTGGTGATTCCCACTCCTCATTTTTACTACATTAATTCATGAATTGGCTTGTTTTAAATTAACCATCTGCTGTAACCTGTAAACCTATTTCAGTATTAGTTTGTTCAGTAAATCCAGTGGAGCTGAACTGAACTGACTTTGCCCACAAGTATTAGTATTGTGAAATAATTAATGCCGCTGATATTATCTTGGCTTCCGCAGCAGCTCATCAATCACACACTGCAGAAGGCTTTTCTTCCCTGTCATGATTTTGAGTATTAAGTCTTCAGGCTACAAGATTTTCCTCTTTATCACACAAATCAGTCCCTGGACTGTGAATTCATCTCTACATACATTTTGAAATTTGATGTGGTCATTTTCCATCCCTTTGGGATCATCTTGCATCTTCCTTTGCATCTCTCTGTGGTTGTTTTCCATCTTTTTGTGGTTTTATGTCTCTCTGTGGTTGTTTTATGTCTCTCTGTGGTTTTATGTCTCTTTGTGGTTGTTTTGAATCTCTCTGTGGTTGCTTTGCATCTGTCTGTGGTTTTATGTCTCTTTGTGGTTGTTTCGCGTCTCTTTGGGGTTGTTTTGCATCTCTCTGGTTGTTTTGCGTCTCATTGTGGTTGTTTTGCATTTTTCTGTGTTGTTTTGTGTCTCTTTGGGGTTGTTTTGCATCTCTCTGTGGTTGTTTTATGTCTCTCTGTGGTTTTATGTCTCTTTGTGGTTGTTTTGCATCTCTCTGTGGTTGTTTTATGTCTCTGTGGTTATTTTGCATCTCTCTGTGGTTGTTTTGTGTCTCTTTGGGGTTGTTTTATGTCTCTTTGGGGTTGTTTTGCATTTCTCTGTGGTTGTTTTATGTCTCTTTGTGGTTGTTTTATGTCTCTTTGGGGTTGTTTTTCATTTCTCTGCAGTTGTTTTGCGTCTCTTTGTGGTCGTTTTATGTCTCTCTGTGGTTGTTTTATGTATCTTTGAGGTTGTTTTGTGTCTCTTTGTGGTTATTTTGCATCTCTCTGTGGTTGTTTTATGTCTCTGTGGTTATTTTGCATCTCTCTGTGGTTGTTTTGTGTCTCTTTGGGGTTGTTTTGCATCTCTCTGTGGTTGTTTTGTGTCTCTTTGGGGTTGTTTTGCATCTCTCTGTGGTTGTTTTGCATCTCTCTGTGGTTGTTTCATCACAAACTACAACCTCCAGAGTAATCAGGTAGATTTCATTTTATTTTTCTCCCCTAAGAATGTGTGGTAGCTCAGTGACACTAACATTATAAAAACTTATGATCTGATCCTGCTACAATTTGTACCCCTGATATTTCCAAGTGTTCTCTGGTTATATCTTATCCCAAGTTTGAAGAGATTTTCAAAATTGTCCAAACCATTTGGCTGAAGTTGGTTAGTTAGTTTTTCTTGTTACTCTATAGTTTGTAGTCCAATTTGCCCAAAGACTAAATATATGATTGGACAATGGCTGCATCTCAGAAGCTACAAGGAGCACATTCAAGTATTTCGTATCTAAACTCACAGCAAGTTGAATATCAAATATACACACACATGCAAGGTAAAAAACAAACATTTAATTAACAGTATGCTAGTGGTTTCCTGACTTTGACTACCAATAAAACTATGATTTTTCCTGTGATCTAAAAATGTTAGAGTTGTCCTGTTATATATTTGCCCACATTTACCCACTGTCTGAACCAGATTTCAAGACTTTAGACAAATCAGAACAAATGTGGCATTTTTTCATGTCATATGGTCTTTGGGCATGAATGGGTTAACTAGAGTGCTCTGTTTTATAGAAATTCCATTACCCAAATATAAAACGTCATTAACAGACCCTCTCTACACAATCACTTTCTCATAATTAAAGAAAACTATGGCCACATATCCTACACACTGCAGCAAGTGTGTCTTTCATTACTTACCAACACTTGAGCATCTGCAGTGGATCTCTGTGGAAGCACATCTCTGACATTTAAAAACAAGCCACCACCTATTCTTTTCCCACATTGTAATTGTTTTTAATCTTATTAAGACTTATAACCACATAATTATGAGGCAGCATCTTGTAACAATTTACCATAAACTGACTGATGTTATTTACTTAAACCCAGTCCTGACGTTTCAAATCTCAAACAGAAAGAAGCACCCAAACATCAGAAAACAGACCTCACTGTGATGACATTTTGTGACAGACGACTCCATAAAAATAGAAAATCAGGGCAGTATTTGGTGGCTCAGTATGCAGCATGTTTTAAAGATTTATACATCTGAGCAGGGTTTTTTTTTTAGACTTAACTATCCAGTGATGTATAAATATGCCACCCCTTGATCACTTCTCTGGCCCCACTTCTGTTAAGCATGATGTCATGAAGTTCTAAACAAATACAGACTGTTTTGAGATGCTGATTCACTGCAGTGACAGCCATCAGGGTGCAGTGTGTTTGTAACTCACAGCATTTGTGAGCCATTAAAAGGGCGTGATTCACATTGGACATTATGTTTTTACACAGCCTGTGATTTAATTAAGGGCACAAGTTTGAGGTGTGTACTGCACAGATCAGAGTGACATGTCTGTTCAGAATTCACAATCTGTAACTTGTTGGCTGCACTGTAGTTGTGCTTTGTTACATTTAGCCACAGAAAAAGTTTAAAGTGGCTCACTCTGAAAAAAAAAAATCAATAAATGAAATTCTATTTTTGCCTCCTCAAAGACAACAAAGGGTAGGTCGACCAGGCTTCTAGTAAAAGGACAAGGTGTATCCTTGTGTTTGGTTAGGTAACACCTTGCGCAATATAAAATGCATTCTGTTGGGCAATGTTAGATTAAGGTTGTTCACTTTTGTCTTGACAGCAGGCTGTAAAGCAGCAGCTAAGCAGCTAAAAGTCACTTCCTTTGTTGATTAATATGCTGATTTGTTTTAATGAATCAAGTAATTGTTTAGGTTGTGGAATAGCAGATAATAGAAGAAAATACCATCAGAATTTTACCCGAGCTGACGTCTTCCAGCAACAGTCCAAAATCTAAAGATACTCCTCTTCCAATTATACAAAAACAAATCTCACATATAAGAAGCTGAAGCCAGTACATATTCTGCATATTTGCTTTCTAATTTAAACTATACATATGTTACAAAAACGGTTGTTCCTGTTAACTTGTCATTTCAGCACTCACTGTTTGCCGCCTTTAACATGAAGTAATACACCACGTTTAACACAAAGTGGTCAATCAGGGAAAGTAGCATTGTTAAGATGTCAAGGCTGCCTGTGTGGCCCTGATGAGACACTGGAAAGTGGAAAACAACTTTGACAGCAGTTTCGAGAAAAGCAAAGATAACGTTAAGTCAGTGCCTTTGAAGTTCTGATCAGCTCATCACTTAATCTGCAACGGTGCGCTATGTTGTAGATTTGTTATGTTGATCTGCACAGTAACTGTACCTGCCAAATGAATGTACTGGAGTAAAAAGTAGTAGTAGACAGTAGGGTAACATACTTCTACTCATACTTTGCTTGAGTATTTCTACTTCATTCTACTTCATACTTCTACTTCACTCCATCTCCAAGGAAACTACTGTGCTTCTTACTGCACCGCAATTATCTGACAGCTGTATTTTCTGTTTATTTTGCACAATGAGATGTCACACGTAAAACATAATAAACTGGTATTGTCAAAAATATTGATTTATCGATACATATTGATTCTGAATATTTGAAACTGTTTCAAATACTCATTTATCACAGTATAAATACACCAGTACCAAGTGCGCTTTCTCGCTCTCTCTTATTGTTAATGTTTACTACAGTCACACTGCCGCTCTCTGCCACCAACCAAGAAAAGAAAAAATCATCGATGTCATGTTATAGCCTCATTATCATCATCTTTTAATACAAAAAAAAAATAGATTTTTGTGCCCTCAATATCAATTTTTCCCTGTGGTATCAAACTGAAAATAGTATTGCATATCAGCATTTTTCAAAGAAATAATAATAATAATCATGACCAGATACATTAAAATACTTCTTACAAGTTAATGATAGGTGAATGACTTCTGAGATGGGTTAATAATTACAATACCCTGAAATGTTACACTCAGCATAGTACTTTTACTTTTAACACTTTACATGCTTTTACTGAGTTTTTGTTTTCTTGCCTTTTTGAAATATTTATATATACATATACATATATATATTTAAATAGTATTTATTATATTGTATTTTTGTATATAGACAATTGTCTGTTTTTTTGTGTGGTATGCTATGGACCTTTCTCTGTGTCCTTAATAAAGTCATTATTATTATTATTAGCATTATTACTGAGGATTTTGAATAATAATAATAGTAATAAGAAAAATTGTTTATATAGCACTTCCCAAAACCTGTGTGACGAGAGCTTTACTCAAAATTAGAGATTAAAAACAAGACACTGGATGAAAGCAATGCAGAAACACACAAGATAGAATCTAGGTTATAAAACATAATGAGACTTTGAGCATCAAAATAAGTTTTAAACTGCGCTTTAAAGAGAGGTAGTTATTCGGCAGCAGTCAGGTCACTCCAGAGTCACGGGGTGACCTGACAGCAAAGTTACAATCCCCTCTCGTCCTAAACGTAGACACACACACAGCCACCAGGTTCTTGCTAAAATACCTCAGGCAGCTTACAAGTTGGCAAGAGGAGAGCAACTCTGATACACAGGCTAAAGCCTTAAAATAGAACCTTAAAGTCCCATTCCACTCAAAATCAAGGTCACATCACTCAGATGTTAAATACTCACTGTGCAGAGTTTGACACCAGAGGGCTGTTTTCACACTCATCAGCTGAAGGAGGAAAGTTTCTCACCTTAGATCTCAGTTTAGACGTGCGAGCGTGATTCGTGTCATCACAACTAGTTTGGGAGCCAATCATGGTTCAATATGCAGCTAAGTGTGATGTTAAAACCTTCAGTGCACAAACACTGAAAGTGCACTTTTCAGTGAAGTAGCAGACATCAGTTTCTACACCTGCACCAATGAGAGCATCCTGACTGCGCTGCTCCATCCTAATTTAAGGAGGAGAATCATAAAAGATCGCAGCCACGCAGGAAACTGCTTTTTTTCCTCTGCTGAGGTCAGCAACAAAGTACCAGTTACACCAGCCCAGCACTGAGAGGCTCAGGAGGAGCCTTATCATAAACACTGACGTTATTACATTTCACTGATTGATTGACTGACTGGAGTCAGTGTTTGGTTTGTCTGCTCTGGGCTACTGTAGAAACAACATGGAAGAGAACCCACTCCGTATATAGATATAAATGGTTCAGTCTAAGGTAACAAAAACACAATGATTCTTAGATAAGGTAACTATAAACTAATAAAAACATAGTTATGAATATTAAATGCTGTTTTGCCAATATATCCTCCTAAATCATGCACACTAGATTTACGTACATTTTGCTTGAGTATTTTCATTTAATGCTGCTTCATACTTTGACATTTTTGAAAGAGACGTGGTACTTTTTTTTTGCTTAATGTGTTTATTTGACAGCTTTAGTTACAAAAAATTAAGATTTTACATGCAGGACACATGAAGAGCTAATAAAAAATGATGCAGTGTTTTATAATTAAACCAGCCAGTCCTGTGTAATGCACCTAAAATTAATAAATTACAACATTTATTTAAGTAATATCTAATCATATAATGCATTATGAATAATATTACACTCTGTAAGGAGTGTTACTTTTACTTTTGATACTTTGCTGATAGTAAGTTTGTAGTTTTACTTAAGCTGTCAACTGTCTAAAACACATTAATAAAACAAACATATTTTTTTAATGCTGAAAACTTCTTTATTAGAAGTATTATCCATTAACCCTGTTTTACAGTAGCCAACTGTATGTGTGTGTGTGTGTGTTTGTGTTTGAACTGTAATTTAAGTACATTTTTCTGATAATACTTGAGTACTTTTTCCTAAGTTAGACTTTTAATGTTAACCTTATAAGGAATATTTTTACATCATGGTAACCTACTTTTTTACTCACGGACAGTCTGACTTGTTTTTCCAGCATTGGGAGGTACTGTCCATAAAAATGGGTCATCTATGTGAGTAACTCAGAATACAGCCTGGTGCTATGTGCAAACTAAACTCCCCACACTGACAGCCACCAACGCATAAACGCAGTTTGATAAATAATAGCAGGTAAAAGCCTGTTGTGCACGTGCCTCCTGCGCTTTTCCCTACAGCTGTGCAGATATTTGTTGTCTTACATTAGCGTCACATCTTCTACATACTTCCAAACAGAAGGAGGGACCAGTTGAACCAGATCACGTCCTCTGCCCCAAATGAAAGTGAAACTAAACCAATGCCAGTGTTGGTGCCTTGTTTAGTTTCACCAAATAACCATAATGGCGCACGGTTCGCCGACAGCAGCTGAAATAACTCCCGTGGGTGCACGTGGATCACCAGAGTTGACACACCTCCGATCATTACGCACCAGTTATTTCTCGCAGGTGTTGAACTTTGCCACTTTTCTGTCCCTCCTAAATGAAAACGTGTACTTCTAACCAACACTCGTAGTCCGACCCCGAGGTTTGGTTAGGGTACAGGTTGGGTTACACTCCTGGCTGCCACACACACTCGGAAAGGGAAAGTCAGCTCACCGCTCGCTGGTCTCTGGGGCATGAGGGCTGGACGAGGAACACCGGGAGCGCCGTCATGAAGTCTATCATCTGCGTAGCGGCATCGGTCTCTCTCCTACCCAGCGGAGCAACAAGCCAACATCACATTTTTGCATTTCACATGTTCTTAAGAAGCTGTTTGGTCTCATTGGTCCTCGTCCAGGGTTGTTAACACTTGAGCGGAGCTTAAGTGCGGTCCAGATGTCGATCCACTGACAGACACACGCCCTGCTCGCGTCATGTTAAGAGTTCACTCCTCCTCTGCTTCGTCACCTTGTTCCTCGCCACTGCGTCTCAGAACAGCTGTTGACAGATCTGTCTTTAATTGCACAGATTGATAAATATGCCAGTAACGACCGAGGCTGTCACCTTCATGTGAAAATGATCAGTCAGATATTGTTTGTATTATTCAGGCATTTCATATTTAACACAAACATGTCTCAACACGGATCAGATCAAACATGTCAAGTTGTTTGGATAACCTTTGTGTTGCACTGAGGCAGAGTAATTCAGTCCAATTACCACAGTAAGATGCAGATAAATTCCTTTAAGCAGAGCAACACTTGTTACAAAGACATCATGACTGTAACTTTTTATTTCAGACTGATTATCAAACACACACATTGGCTTTGTGGGTGTGTGTGGTCTGTGGTGATGTCCTTACCTGATAATTTGTTTGGGAACATGAACTCAATTTTTCTTTGCTTTTTTTAATGTCCAAATGTTATTACAACAAATGTTTACACTCACATAAACCAACACAACAAACCCAACAACTAAAACTTCTTCCAGCTAAGAGCTATAGTTCGTTTTGCCTGTGGTATAGCAAAGTCAATACATTTGTATTCTTTGGTTCTCAAATATATTGTTGGATATGTGTGTCGCAATATCATTTTTGAGTCTACTGGGATTTTCATGGGCAGAATAATAACAATATCATCATTATATTAATCACCTCCTTCAAAAGCTTTATGCATTACAGAGTTGTGAAGTGGGACGGGTTATTTCAGGTACCCAGAGTTCATATACTCGCAACATCAGTGAAAAAGATTAACAACTGCATTAGATATTAGAAAACATCACCGGTACAAGCCTGTAAACACAAATAACACAAGCAAAGAATTTAACACTGCCTCCCAGCATGCATTTCTGTAACAAAAATCAAATAAGGGAACTTAAAATTCTGTTATGTGCTCCTAAAAGATCTATATAAGATGGCCAAAGTTCACTCACCAAATGACCACTTTTGTTAATCAGTTAGCCGTGCCGTGTTACCCTGTATTTGTGAAGACTTTTTTATAGCATGCCTCCATGAAATCAACAAAGTTACTGATTAATAATTAAGATAATTAACTCATCTAATATGCAATAGTGCATACTGTGTATGCTCCTTGGCTGGGCCAGATGTGCGATTAAGTCTGTACTGCTGCTCTTATCAAACTGCACTGATTTATATTACTTAAATTATTTATTACTACATAATATATTCTCCTTTTTTACCCATAGTGTGTTTTGTGTCTCACTGTTGCTATGCTGGTTATTGTTTGTCTTTTACTGTTTTTTTTTTTTTTTTTTGTATTAGCCCAGAGATCACAAAATGTCGTTGTACTGCTGTGCAATGACAATAACGGCTTTGAATTGAATTGAATTGAATTGAATTGAATTGAATTGAATTGAATTGAATTGAACTGAATTGAACTGAACTGGTTGATCCAGTACCTGGTTTAGCAGCGGGAAAACCATATCAAAACACACAACTCTTGCAGTATATTTCATATCTCATGTATCCACTCATATGCTCTGTACTTTCCGAACACATGTACGTGTTTGGAAAGTACAAGGCGAAAAACCCTTAGTATGGGAGTCTGGTTTTAAAGAGGGCAAAGATAAGTTTCACTTTCAGTTCGGTTTTAATTCACAAGGTGCATGTGCATGTGTTTGGGAAGTGCAGAGCATACGACTGGATAGACAAGACTTGACTGCACGAGCTGTGTGAGAGTTTGTAACATGTTTTGATATAGTGCTGATGCTGTTAGATGTGATCACCAGCTGTGGAGACACGCAAGAAAAATAACGTTTTCTTCACATATTAATGGTAACACAGCGTCACTGATCTATAAACAAATAAACGGCATTTTTGTTCACAACAGCAAGCTACAGCTGTGACTCAGCTAAAGACTGGCTTGTACTCTGGTGCTACCGTGGCAAAGGCTCATGGGTATTGTAGTATTCAGAGCTATTCATCATGCCATTCATCATGCCAAATGGGCATGGTGCATGTTCCTAATTAAAGGAGTCAACAGTTCATTCTGGCCCCAGGGCCTCCTTTCACAATCCAGGTGGAATGTAACACCAAAGCAGAAAACAAGACTTCTCTCAGGATGGGTGACAAAATCTTAATATTTATTTAGTCTTGTTTGCTTAATTTTCAGTCAGTCAGTTTCTACTAATCTTCTCGTTCTTGTGCGGCAGCATGAGTGGGTTTTGTAGGAAACATTTCTCAGAGTAAGGGATTCATACAAAAATGTAAATATGGTTTCTGTACTAGTGCCAACTGTGTTTCTTGGATTCGTCATGTTTGTCTCTGTTGATTCCTTCACTGTAACAACTGAACATCAGCCGCGGCTCATCTGGATCTATAGGACCGAGCTGTCCAGTCTCTGTCTCAGCTCAGGCAGCCCCGTCCACTTTAAGACCAGCCATGGCATCAGCAGCCTTTTCCTCTTCCCCTTCTTCTTCCTCCTCGTCATCATCATCTTCCTCTTCCTCATCATCCTCCTCCTCATCATCATCATCATCCTCATCTTCCTCATAGTCATCATCGTCTCCGTAGCCGTCTTGTTGGCCGCCTCCGGATGCCATGTTCTTCCAGTAGGAGTCGTACCCTGACGCTCCGTCGTAATAGTAGTCGTCGTCGCCGCCAGCTTGTCGGCCGAATTTCAACGTGCGAGCTGCAGAGAAGACACAGACGTGACATTAGCTCTGGTTTCATTTGCTTTAATGGTGAAGCGACAAATAAAGTAGGGTAATATTTTAAAAACCACGTTAATGTTTTACAGATTAATTGCAGTTTAAATTTACTTCTGTACGTAAAGAGTTAATTTTAGGACAGCCCCAGTTAGTGCCTCTCATGTATTACCATAGCATTCACGTCACAAAGCTAAGCATCTGTTTTCCTGAGACATACAGTAAATACCTGCTCACTGCACACCCACTGTTTACCACTGCTTTAAAACTGGTTTCCAGAAATAAAATATTTCCTCCGCTGCATGATTAACAAAGATATTTAACCCTTGTCTTACATGTTTCTTATTTGGGTAGCTGGGAACACCGAATTTCCTTGCTTGTTATGTACGACACGAGAAAAATCTAAACACATTATAATATTTTGTATAAAAACATACAGTAATTGAAAGTAACATCGACCAGAGCTGCAACAATTAATTGATCAGTTGTCAACTTTTAAATCAATCCCGACTAATTTGACAATCGATTAATCAGTTTGAGTCATTTTTTTAAGAAAAAAAAAAGTCCATAAGTAAGAGGAGAATTCTCACACACTGTCCTACTACTTGCAATAAACTTTATTTAAAATCAAATAAAAATCAAATAAAGTGCGTAGCAAATAATAGGACAGTGTATGGGCATTGTCTTCTCTTACCAAGAAAATGTCTCGAGAAAAAAAGTCAAAATTCTCTGATTTCAGCTTTTTAAATGTGAATATTTTATGGTTATTTCCCTCCTTTATGACAATAGGCCGTTTATCTTTGGGTTGTGGACTCAACAAGACATTTGAGGACGTCATCTTTGGCTTTGGGAAACGCTGATCAACATTCTTCACCATTATCTGACATCTTATAGACCAAACAACTGATCGATCAATCAAGAAAATAATCGACAGTGAAAGTAATCCTTAGTTGTGGACCTAATGTAGACAGATATGATTAAGATAAGATAAGATGGACTTCAATGTCCCGAAGGAAATTTGTCTTAGATACATGTGGTATCTGCCGTTAAAAGATACAAAGACTCCATACAGAGCTGTCGCTATTCACAATCCGACACACTCAGTACCTATAGTACATGTACATGCTGCCATCAGCCAACAAACTGCACGCTGCCCACTGCACCACACATCTGTTTTACATAGTCAATTGATCCGGTCTGCAATTAAAGCACCCCAGAAGAAATCTTGCAGGGGAAACTTTACGATTTTTTTTTTCTCCATGGTCAAGGACCAAGCTCAATAAATCAATGACATAACATTACATTTTGGTTACGCTGCAATGTTGTTGAATTTAAAGTAGTCACACAGGAGTCATCTGTCCAAAGAGCCACTTGGTCAGATGCACCTCTCTCATAAACAGTGTGTTAAATGTGTCAATATCACAAAAAAGTGCAAGTAAAAGTTGAATAAAAAGGTAAAAAATTGGAAAAAACAGGAACCAGAGAATGATCTGTTTGCTGTCTCAGAGGTGTCAAACAAGTGTCTTATTTTGAGATTTTACGGGAAATAAAGGCTCATTTCTTTATAAATGTCCCCGCTTTCTCACTCTTTCTGTTTCGTTTTTGAGATCAAGACTCAGCAGGGAAGTGAAGGCTGCTGCAACTTCCTTTCCTGGAAAAAAACAACTTGAAACTCACTGGACATGCTGAGGTCTTTGGTCTCCTGGGTCTCGTGACCACACTTGGGGCAGGGTGGAGCTTTGCCTTTCTCCTGTTTGAAGACCTTACTCTTGGCGTGATCATCACAGTAACAGGCCTGAGAGGACACAGTGGAAATGTTAGCGGCACACACGTTATTTTGACATATAGTGCAAATATAAAGATGAAATCCAACTACCATTCGGGCTCGTTTTGACAAGTCAGGTCAATCACCCACATCTATTTAAAGTAATAGGCTGTTCTTATGTAACTGTTGGGGCTGATCTACTGGCTTCAAATGAAAAGCTTGGACGTCTTTTGAGTCTACAATACCACACTGTTGTCATTCTTTTTGTCCACACTTGCTGTGGAAAATCCCTTCCTAACGTCCCCAGTAAAAAACAAGGGACAAAATCCACTGTTCATTCCGTGCAAAAATGCACGCTCAGGTCCAGGGGCGGACAGGGGGGACATGACTCCCCCTTCAGTAAAGCTGTACCCCCCTAGAATCATTTGAGACACAATTAATAATTTTTGAACAATGCAGTAGTATTTATTGAAAGCACAATGTAAGCAATGCTCATTATAATCGCACAATAATGTGCTATTTAAATCTTAAAAGATTAAGTACCCCCCTCCCATTCCTAGTAGAGGTATATCCCACACTCTTTCCAACAGGCGGGGCTACTTGGCAGCAGTAGCAGAGTGTGGCTGGACCCACTGCCCACATTGCGCATTGCAGGGTAAGATGTACACTCACACAGACACAGTTTAACTTACACAAGTTACAACACATCCCATTTACTGTTACAACAAGCCCCAGGCCCAGGCTGATAATATAAACTGTCTGCAACATTTCTCCTGCATTGTTCAAAAGCCTACTCAATTACGAGTGCTGCTAAGCTAAAAGCTAATGATTAAACTCAGAGTTTAGTGATAGAGAAGACAGGAGAGAAAGAAGAAGGAGAGGACAGGACAAGAGCAGTCAGTGGTGGAGCAATGGGTACCTGTCTGTGGGTTCTCCACCTGTCAGTGAGACAAACATGAATGACATGCAGTCTAACTGACGAGGAGCGGTCATTACGCGCGACTATTACGCACGGTTGTGAGGTGCGCAGCAGCAGATCTCACAGCACACTGTTTATAAACCAGTTTACCAGTTTAATTGCAGGAAATGTTTAGTTTTAGTTTTAGTTTAGTTAGTACAGACATTTACTCTGCCTGTTGGAGAGATAGAGAAGATTAAAGCATCAAATTGCGGTAAAAGATGCTGTATAAAAGACAGGCTACAACTTTGTTTCCCTACACTGAGTGCATAACATGGACATGACCCGTTCATGTGTCCGAGCACAAAAACACCATATCCTGAATACTGTTATCACCAGGATAAGCTTCATGGGCAGGTTATTCATGTCCAAGTAAACACTTGCTCAGATACTTCCTGTACTCACATGTGGTTTTGTTACAGGACAATGACACCAGACAGAGAGACTCACCAGATTTAGCTAACTCCAACTCACACTAGCTGAGGACTCACAGTGTAGTAGTATTATGGAAAAAAAAAACTCCTGTATTATTGAACTAGTACCCTATTACCCATGTTTGGGTTTTTTTAAGCTTACAACTTCAAATGCCGCAACAGTGAGACAGCACAGCAGAAAAGTTCACTAAACATTCTTATACTCAGACAACTATCATACCTAACTTTCCATATGTATAGGTATGTATGGGTTTAATTACCTGCCATTTCTGGCACTTGCATTATTTTATCTTAATACGTGGCTTTCTACTACAGCTCGTTCTGGCCCAATATCACACAATGTTTGCTTCAGGTCACTCTGCTCTTGTCACATTGCCCCAACCAAGGTTCAATCTAAGTAAACGTTTTTTTGCTTCTAACCTGACCTTAACTGTCTGACATTAAGCTCGTCTTTCTGTACTCTAACACAACAAACGCTTCCTGGCACTCCTCTCTCCAACTCTCACTAACATGTCCAGCGTTGTTTTTCCTGCAACAAGTCACCTCTCATGAGACAGAAAAACGTTAATTTCTTTGCAGGGTCCTTTCTGTCATGTTGTCAGACACTTATAATAACAATCTGAGCCTGCAGTGGCAAAAACAAGCACTTTAGTGGAGGTACACTGACAGTGCACAACTGCCTGTGGGGATTACACTGCAGCTGCAGCCCTCTCCCTCAATACTAGACAAAAATTGTTGTCTCATTAGTCACTTAGACACAAAAACATGGGGTGATTGGATCCAGGCTGAAATACAGAAGTTTAAGAAGCGGTTCCTCTCGATCAGTGTGAACAGGAGGACAGATCACACCCATCAAACATACATATTGGCATGTGAATATTATTTCAAGACAGAGTTAGACAGAATAAAGTCAGCTGTGTGTGTCTTTGCTATGGTGGATTCTGTGTTTACTGTAGTTACAGTGTGTGTGTGTGTGTGTGTGTGTCTGGTTGATGGTTTTCTGTTTTCTTTCCTTATTGCTGCATGTTCCTGCATTTAATCAGTTGTATTCCTCATTACATGTTACTTCTTGTTAGCATTTTATGTAAAGCATGTTGCGTTTACCTGTAGTGAAATGTGCTGTATCAGTGACACTGCCGTGCCAAATTGTAATATCATAAGCTACCAAGCCACTTGTGCATTTTGTAGATAAAGCTGTGACACTACATTGCCTAGTGGTAAACCTTTTAACAATAGTGACAGCCAACTTGTTTTAACAGATCAGAAATCGTGTGGTCTGACATCGATGCACTGCAGCCTGCTTTAATGAAGGAAAAATTATCTTCTGGCAGCAGCTCGAGCCTCATTTGGTGAATCCAGTTTTATCTAATTGGAGCGCTCTCTTGCTGCTATTTAGTGGAAAGTTTTCCATTTTATTCCTAAGTTTTGTTTCCTCTTTCCCCACATGCCAGGCATATTGGTACAAACAGATTAAAAGCAAACGAAATAGAGAATTCAATTTGACTCTCTTATCAGTTAGGAGATGTGGGTTGTGGAAACAGTTTGTGATGTGAGCTGATAAGATGGGTGTAGTTTTACATAAAAAATGCTTTGTGCGGCCTAAAACTTCGGACAGAATTAAGTCCCTCCACTGTGTGTTGTAAAGTTTGCATAGATGTTTCCCTCACCTTACAGCGCAGGCAGGAGTGTTGCCCCAGTCTATTACAGGAAACACCTAAAATGAAATGTGAGAAAAGGTGAAACAGAGTAAACAACCGCATTCCCTCTTCTGCACACATACCCTCTAGATATTATTCTCTGCAATGGAGAAGATACACTTCACTTTCTGCATTAACCACAAAGAGCCAAAATCACATTGTGAAAGGAAAAGCAAATGACTCACATTTGTATGTCTCTGCCTGGAGGACTTGGCAGCTTGCCTGGTGCTCAAACTGATCATCCTCACACAGGAAGTTTTGACAAAAGGAACAACGGAAGATTCGCCCTCCTATTCATGAAGTTAAAATAGCCAGGGGTTTGATCTTTGGTGTGACGCTGATGTGACAGGGTGAATTTCAAACAAACGGGGGGGGGGGGGGGCTTACCATGATCCCAGACACTGCGTTCACACTCGATGCAGTCTGCATCAGTCAGAGGACACACGCAGGCATGAGTGCTCAAACATTTCCTGCCATGGCACACCCAAGCTTCACAGAAGTCACACACTGCCCCCTTGTGGACAAGAAAAAAGCTTGACATGAATTATCTCTCTGAGACCACTGTAAAAATATTTACACATTAACTTGTACTGTTAAAAACATCAGTAGATACATATTGATTCTGAATATTTGAAACAGTTTTACTATTTATTATCGGCAGCATCAGTACACTCGTTCTCACCCTCTCTCTGAGAGTCATGTTATATAGCATTGTTACATTCATCTTTTAACGAACATTTTAAATTGCATGCCCTACATGTCAATTGTTTTCCCTGGCATCAAGGATGGTATTGAATATTGATATTTTTTAAAGTCTCGTTCAGCATCGCTCATACTGTAACAGTAGGTAAACCATTCCCACACTGGCATGTTTGAGACACACTAGTAGGTTTTCTGGAGGTGGGGTTCAGACGGCAAGAGTTTTTTGGAGAGTTGGGATTGGATTATTGGTTGATTGTGAGTGTTAACTCTGGGAAACATTAATGAATTCTGAAGCTGGTCGCTACACACTATTACAAACTGACCTTAAATAACAAGTAATGAACTTCATCGCAGGCTATTTTAAACCCTGTTATAACACATGCTTTGTAAATTATTAAGTAGCTCTCACCAAGAAGTGAGCATTAGGCTGTCATTTATCACTTGTACATTGAACTTTGTTTACATCATTATTCTGTTACACTACTATCTATTTCCTCCACATCACTGACAGTAATTACTATGGCCATAATTATTAGGTTCTGATTGTACTTGCACTATACGGCAAACTGCACAAGTGGTAAAGAGTGATAATGAGCACTTCGTCTCCAGTGGTGAACAGTTTTATGAACGTTATTATGTACGTCAGTGCCCAATACTGTTTGCACACATTTACAATCCTGATAGTGTTGCTGTTTGCACATATAACTTGCACAGTCTCATTCCCGTGATGTTTGCTCATTGTACCTTGTATCTGCCACTGTCAACCAAAGCTGCCAGATCAGTATGACATTGGAGGGCACGTAGTTTGTTGACTCCACTTGCAAATACTAGCTTGAACTAAATTAACCCCACACATAATTAACAGACAAACACTGTTTTTAAAAAATACAGCCAATAACTATTGTACTGTGCTAACTCTTACATTGTTTCAACAATCAAATGTCCCCATAAGGATTGATAATAAAGAGGTATTCTTCTAGTGTGATTACATTAGTTCAGAAATGATGTTAACTTACCACCATGGCCATCCCAGTGCTGTGGATCCCAGGATGTTTGACAACACAGTCTGATGACTTCATGCACTTGGTTTTGCCTGACATCACAAGCATAAAGCATAAAGATTATTAAGGTGTCAAAACCCATTTTAATGCCACTATGTGACGAATTCTGATGTGTTTTCAGCATTTTTGCAATTGTTGTAGATGGTAAAAGCTTCCATATAATTGGAACGCACAGCTGTCTGTAAAAGTGTCTTTTTTAGATACCACCACTCGGGGCACCAAAGTAGAATATTTTCAACATGCAGTGGCTTTAAAGGTGAACTCCACTGATTTGACATCAGCTTACTTGTCATGGTTAATACAACTCAGCCTGTGAACAGTTGTATAATGTGTTCTGTGGCTCTAACACCCTCCTGATGACATTGTTAGGGTTATCTCAGCCTGGGCTTGAGGCTTCATATTTAAAACAGAAAGACTGCATTGCATTCTGGAGGTGTGGACAGGAGGGGCTAAAAAAGACTAAGTTAGGATGCATTATGGTATGTGAAGGATAAAGCAATTTTTAAACCTAACCTAGTGCTCAGGACTAAAAATCAAGATATCCCAACCTCTGCTGCACCAGATTTGACCTTTGACCAACGAAGTGATCCTGCTTTCATTTAACGTCTGTGCAGCCAAAGACTGACAGACCTGCATCTTAATCTTCTGCGCCATACACCTCCATTGTTGTTCAAAAACTATTAAAATCACATCAGGAAAGCACACTGTTGCACTGGGTGATATGTTCCTTCATTATGACATGAGTTGACCCTGTGTAAATCATCCTGATGGTACTGTATATAGTAACTAATAAGGCCACAAATCCATGGCTGAAAACAGTCCCCAACAAATGCTCTATACTCCTGTGTCAGTAATTACAATGTTCATGATCTGTTTCTCAAGATTTATGTCTTCAGTAGGGATAATGGGCATGGTGCACAGAGCCACACACAGGAAAGGGATGAAAATAAGATTTGAGAGAAGGACTAAACAGTGGTTCCCAGCTGGTGGGTCACAGTCCAAAAGTGGGTTGCTGGTCCCTTCTGACTGGACCACAAGTAATTAGTGAAGGTGTCAAGTTTGTAAACACTCTTTATTTTAAGTACAGTGAATTTCCGGCACAGAGCTTTTATTTTGAAGTACATTTCCTGCTGTAGAGTGAGTGACTAATGGCCAGCTAATTGACAGAGACAGCAAAGTAATACGCTGAATGTATTAAACTCTGTGGACCTTGAAATAATGACTTAGGTGAAATCTGGACCCTGTGGCTGGGACAGCTGGGAGCCAATGATTTAACATGATGGGAACACTATATTTAGATAGTCCTACAGATCGTTTATGGAGTATTTGTGACATTTCAGCATCTTATTAGTTAAGATTCAACAATTCAACTGGTTCATGTTATTCTGTATTTGTTAAAGAGATTATCTAAAGTGTGACAACTAATGAACATACATACATATTCTCAGAATAACTACTCACTCAAGGTTGAGTGAGTAGTTCAAGGTTAACTAGGCACACCAAAGGGCGAGCCACAATCTCAAGGCACACTTGCATTTATATCTGTGCACAATAGCTTCTGTAACTTGTTTTATCACTCTTATCACGACATAAGACAATAAAATAAGAAAAACTAAGACAGGTAGCTTTCATGATACTGTCTACTCTACTCTTTCTCTTTTCTTTCAGTGGTAGGTCATCTTCACTGGTGCTTTGTTGTAATTTGCTCCATACAATTAAACGATCCATTGTCCCACTCATTGCTGTCTCCTTCTATTGTTATCATCCTGCATGCTGGCTGCCAGTCAGGGCTTTTGATGTGTCACACACGTATAATTCCCACGTGCAAATGGCACAAATATATTCCCTGTGAAGGTTTTTTAAATTGAATTCAGTTAAATTACATATTCTAGCTAGAGTTTGCCTCTTTATTAGGAAATGGGTGCACACAACATACTGATACATTCTAAAAAATTCATTTATAACTTTTTGTATAGGCCCAGTTGAATATTGCAATAATAATGTGTGTTTATCCCAAAATCCCACAACACACATGGATTGTCATCATGGCACAACATTTGAGAATTACTGCTTTCTATAAACTCTCTGTAGGTGGACTTTATAAACTAAGTGTTACCAAAATAACTAGCAACAATACTTGTTATTGCAGACATACGAATACACCACATGTCTGTGCAGTTTACTCACCACACTGAGCACAGACAGGCAGCTTCTGTACTGCATTACAGAAGTAGCAGAAAGCTCTGTTCTTCTGTTTCCTACCAGGTGACATTACAAGGAGAAAAAAGTGTTTGTTAGCTGCTTGACAAATCATAATTACACCTTAATACATGATATTTAATATAACAAAGTCGCTTACCTCTGACACTTGTCACATTCCTACAGAAACAAAAGACAATAAAGTAGCAACATCAGAAACAGTAGGTTCAGATATGGTACTGTAAGTGTTGCCATCCTGTGTTAGCTACATACCATGTTGGCGTTACAGGGGTGTTTGGCCACATCGACAACATCCCGGTTGGCTCGGCTCTGTTTCTCTCGCTCTTTCCGGCTCTCTGCCTTTTTACGGGCACCGGTTTTCTTTTTGGGCATCTCTGCTTCACCAGGCTGGTCTCCTCGGAGCTAACGGCTGCTTTAACGGCTGCTTCAACGGCAATCACGGGACGTTTGTTAGCTTAGTGCTGCTGCGGAGAGGTAAAGTTAGCTAGTTTACATGTGACCAACTGAGGAAAACTAAGTTATTTAAAGTGTTTTATATGACTTATGTTCTCAATACAGACAAACACGGAGTTTAATCGGTTAGAGACACACTATGAGGACACAAAATAACGGTAATGAATTAGTTTATAACGTTTTTGTTAACGTTGACTAGCTGTTGCAGTGACAGTTACTAAAGTGACGCGTACATCGCATCATGGTGAATAAATGAAATTAACTTCAGTTATTTCCGTTTATGTTCAATACTTAGGCTGTAAATCAGTTACATGTATGGTCCCGAGTGTTAAATCTAAATGTCATCTTCAATGAAAGCCTCTGATTTACACATTTTCTCACCGGTATGATTAGCACTCCGACTTCTTGCAGGTCCGGTTTGAAAATCTGTCCGGGCTGAAACACACTGCCGTGCTTTTCGTTCCTACTTTTGGTTCCGTGTCTTCTAGATACAATAAAGTTTGCCCTCATGTAGCTTCTGCATTCCTGGGTCACCCAAAAATTAAAACTGTCTGCATTTTAGATGATAGTGTCTAGGTTACAACTCTGAAAGTGTTCCCATCACTAATGACTAGTTTAATTGTTGATAAATAGATCAGGATTACAATAAATTACTTTATTACTTCTCATTGCAATTACTGCACTGTCAACCACAAATTTACACTACAATCATAAGTATATCTACTGTAGTAATAGCTCACTGCTCTGTGTTTTTATTCTTATGCTTTTATTATTTTTACCTATTTTCTTTATCCATATGTGTATCTGTGTTTTTGTGTGTAATGCAAATAAATGGAATATATAGTCTAAAAATGATAAATATAAATATGCTAAGATGAATCATCATGAATCATTAATTGTATAAACACACAAGCAGCATGTTACTGGGTGCAAGTGCTGACAATAGAAGACATTATGTATAGAATAAACAGCTGAAGGTATGATATGATGAGTTAAAACTATAATAAAATTAATAAAATAATATATAGATCAGTAATAAAACCTTAATAAAAACACCTTTTGTGCTGCCATGTTTGCAGGTACCTCATTAGTATATTTTTGTTGCTGTATTTACAATTCAGTTAATTAATAAACACTAGTCCATACCCATTGAGTGCACAGTTGCCCACGTACAGTTTCACATGGTGTGTGTTTGGGATACAGGTCATAGGAAATTGCAGATTAAATAGTCACCTGAACCCATTAAGAAGAGAAATGTATTCAGACAGAGTTTTTGTGAATTTAATAGTAGGCTACAATTGCAGCCACAGCGATCGGTCACATTTTAGCCATTTTTAAGCATTTTTCTGTTGTTATAGCGCCACCCAGTCGCCAATTAGAGTTAAATTTCTCCAGTCACCTTGAGGCGTCCTGTTCTCCATATCTACCAAGTTTAGTAAAAATCAATATGGAAGTTAGGCCTAGATAAGAAATTAACTCTCTAGCGCCCCCATTTTGTTTGATAGGGTCAATAATGGAGGGGTCCCCTCAGATTATGTGTGGTCATATGCCTACAAAGTTGCATGGTGAAACCCTTGAGATGTTATACACCTTTATGTGATGAGCCACGCCCTCCGCAATATTCATTGCCTTATAGAAGCTCAGTTTTAGTAAGTTTTCAAACTTTTGCCAAGAGGGAACTTTATATATTGGTCCCTAGATTATGTTCACCCAGTTTCATGCAGATCGCTCAAACTTCCTAGGAAGAGATCGATTTTAAGTGTTTTTCAAAAAATTCAAAATGGCAGAAAATCTATATAACCGGAAGTTATGGGTTCTTGAGGCAAATTTGTTCCTAGTGAGGAGAGGCATCTCTGTGCAAAGTTTCATGTCTCTCTGACATACGGGGTATGAGATATGCCCATTCAAAGTTTGCAATTTCAATCGGTTGCTATAGCGCCCCCATTTGGCCAACTGCTTCATTTGCATCCTCCCATGACCCTCTACCACTGTGCCAAATTTCACATGGATTGACAAAGTCAGTGAGGAGAAAAACGTGGAACAGACACACACACAGATTTTTCATCATTATATAGTAAGATAAGATATCTGTATGTGAAGATTCAGCTTTCTAGACTTTCCATTTTCCCTATTAAATAACTTTACATCTTACACTAGGCCTAGATAAGATGTGTTATTGATACTGTGCAAAGCAACACAGTGAGGAAAGCAGCTCTGTGATAAGCTATTATAGTTATTTTAAAGACACTGAACAAATTTCACTTCAGCATACAGACATTTTAGACAGCTTCTTTAGAAGGCTGATCAAGCTTTAAGATTTCAAAAGATGTTGCATCAAATTTGTCATGCAGAATGGATGGTTGTTTGTTTTTTCACTATAGAAGACAAGACACATTTAAACAGACATGAATAGTCAGATGGATGAAACAAAACACAAGTAAATAGAGTAACACAAATTGAAAACCTTTCAAATTCAATTTGCAGTTTGATTTTTAAGTACAACAACTAATTCATCATTTAAAAACATAATAACACTAACACATCCCTAATTAGATGTGTTATCATTTAAATTAAATTCATGTTTGACTTTGATGTATCAATTTTGGATTTCCAATAAATGAACTCTGCAAAAGTCTGTCATTTGGGTGGCTCACTCCAGGCTCCACTGATGTCGCCTAAATTTGCCCAATAAAATTACAAGTATATCTTACTTGCTTTTGAGGCTCAAATAAACAAACAAATCCATCGTTTCCTTCAGTTGTGTCACATATTTTAAATCTATAATTTATGACAAAATGCATCAATACAGCAAAACAGGTCATAGTTGAAAGTGTCAGTTTCATATGGATATATTTCTTTGCCAGTGGATTACATGACTGTTCTAGTTTCCCCACATGCCCCGGGGCGTCACAGGCTCCTTGTCCCCGCCTAGGTCACGTGCTCAGAGTGGCGAGCCAATCCTGAGCGAGGACGGTAAACAGCTGACTGTGAACAACACACACACACACACACAGAGCACCGTCTCCTCCTGCAGGTGGTGGTGTGTAGTAGACTCCTGCACGTAGCTCACTAACTCCTGTGATTGCTGGTGTGTGAGTGCTGGTGTCTGTCTCGGGCTCTTATGCAAGCTTAGTGTGTTTTGGTGCCTCCTGTAGAAACAGGGACGTGGAGCGAGTTTCCCACTGAGGAGGAGACCCGCAGCTTCCATCCCCAAAACCAGCCGCACAATGGCACCGTCCCTCATCCGAGCTTGCCGCAGTCTGGCTCTCTCGACGTGGCTGCTGTCTTTCTGTTTCGTGCACTTGCTGTGTCTGGACTTCACGGTTGCAGAGAAGGAGGAATGGTACACTGCTTTTGTCAACATCACCTACCTGGACCCTGTCACGTCGGAGGTCAGGACGGAGAAAACAGAGTGCGGGCGGTATGGCGAGCAGTCGCCCAAGAGGGAAGCCAGAGGTCTGGTGCTGGTGCCGTCCACCCTGCAGGACAGACAGGCGTGCGACCCAAACGTCCGGTTCCCTCCTGTCCCTCACAACTACGCCTGGGTGGCGTTGGTGGCTGCAGGGAACTGTACATACCGAGAGAAGATCCGGAACGCTGCAAACCTCAACGCCTCTGCAGTTGTCATATACAATGTGGGCTCCAGCAGTGCCAACGACACCATAACAATGCCCCATCCAGGTAAGAGACCACCTGTCCACCTGTCTTCTCCATCACGATCCCTGTCCAGTCCTGTAATGTGATGTCATTAATCAGTTGCGTCTTAAGTCAAGGGCCAAGATGAATGGTTTCACACCCTGCTGAGGTCCCAGAGCAGCTTCTGCATCTGTGTATCAGCTCAATAATCAATTAGTTTCCTGGTAAAGTAGAAAAGTGAGATTGATCCCAAAGTAGACTCATTATCAGCTGCCATAAATCTGCTGAATCTTCTGCCTGTAGATCTTGCTGAAGTTTCCTCTCAAATGCAGGTGCAACAGTTAAAGGCTTTGTAATCTTATACTTCACTTTATCAGATATGAACATGTTTTTCCAACATTACCTTTTTTGTATTTCACAAAGGAAGTCACAATTTCTCGAATTCTAAATGCTGTCCAAACACAAACAGACGAACAGCCCAAAATTTTGATAAAAATGAGGAACACTCTGATTGAAGAATAAGTGAACAAGACCACATACCTGATGCCAGCTTTTGGCACTTGATATTCGGTGCCGCAGACGCGTAATGTTTGGTGCCAAATCAGTATTGGCATCACCAGAGGATGCAGTCTCTAATATCACTGAACACACAACTTTCCACTTGCATTGAGAGTACTTTCACAGTTTAGTTTCGATGCTTACACTGTGTCTAAACAGAGGGAAATGAACTTAAAGAAGAGGAATCAATTCTTGTGAAGAGGAAGAAAAACAACAAAGGTGAAGCACAAAGACTTGGAAATGAATTTGCACTTAAGGTCACTAAAACAAGATGACCAAATAGTTTTCCTTTCATTGCACCATGTGTCCAGTTTCCTCTTAGTGTGCAGAGGCAGTTGCCAAAAAACATTGCTCCATTAGTGTTCCTAGTTTGTTTCTAAGCAGTAAATGATAACAGCATGTTCACAAGAAACAGAGAAATGCTTGTCACGATGTGTGCCAAGAAGCCCACAAATGGCAAATATGTAACTCCAGACATTTTTTTTTTTTAGCAAAGTCTGTGTCAAACAGAGAGCTTCTCCTACACAGCTTCCCAAGTTTTCCTCACAAATATGAATTTATGAAGGGCCCACTATAGTCAAAAAATACAATTTAAAGTGTTGGAGACAAGCTCAGGCTGCAGACTCACATGTCAGTGACCTGTCAAGACAAAGCCGAAGAACATCAAAAACCCATCTTTGGACTTTAAGCACCAAAACAAACATTTAACACCTGAAATGTGTAAATAAATCATGTGTAAACAACAGACCTTTTGACATAATCTATGCAAAAATGTCCTTAAAACACAGACCTCAGATCAGGTTCTTCTAAGGAGAGTCACATTTCCTTTCCTTGTTTGCTGGAGGCAGTGCAGGCCGATGAATAGATAACTGGACAAACACTTGGCTGTTGAAACAGCACCCAGCAGAGTTATTTGTTTGCAGCCAGTAAATAAGATATTTGGGTCATAAACAAAAGTGTGGTCATGTTTTTATGTGCTAAATATTTTGAGGTAGAAGAATGCACAGTGTACACGCCTATGACTAAGTTCACACCCAACATTTTCTCCCTCTCTCCTTAGAGCTCTTTATTTTGGTAAGGATTTTGCGATACGATATGTATGACAATACAGGGGTGATGTTTCAATATATTGTGATGCTTTTTTTAATCTAATTTTAGTGTGGCCTTTGTGACTCTGCCTGTTTCATTCTTTGTGTTTACAGTAGTGATATGTTGTTACCTTGGAAAGGAAGAGTGTAATGGCTAAAGATAGATTACAATACGGCTATCTAGCAGTTGGGGGTTAAAACACAACACAAAATTAACCAACCACTGCTACAAAATCTTTGGATGTAAATTCATTCATTCATTTTCTGTAACCGCTTATGCTGTTGGGGGTCGCCAGGGGGCTGGAGCCTATCCCAGCTGACACGGGGCGAGAGGTAGGGTACACCCTGGACAGGTCACCACACTATCACAGGGCTAACACATAGAGACAGACAACCATTCACACTCACACTCACCAGTTAATCCAACCTGCATGTCTTTGGACTGTGGGAGGAAGCTGGAGTACCCGGAGGGAACCCACGCTGACGCAGGCTCACCACAGGGGGCTTCCCTACCCTGGATTCAAACTAGGTACCCTCTTGCTGTGAGACAACAATGCTAATCACTGCATCACAGTGCCGCTAATTAAATGATACAGTATCACAACACACAATATCATGATCAGGGGCGAAAATCCCATTTCATAGTTGGGGGGGGGGGGGACAATAAATAGTAAAATTTTAGAGAATAATTCTAGGGGGGAACAAGGAAAAAAAGTTGTAGCCTGTCTTTTATACAGCATCTTTTACCACAATTTGACGCTTTAATCTTCTCTCTATCTCTCCAACAGGCAGAGTGAATGTCTATACTTATGAGAAATGGCTTAACAACTAAACATTTCCTGCAATTAAACTGGTAAACTGGTTTATAAACAGTGTGCTGTGAGATCTGCCGCTGCACACCTCACAACAGTGCATAATAGTCGCGCATAATGACCACTCCTCGTCAGTTAGACTGCACGTCTCTCATGTTTGTCTCACTGACAGGTGAAGAGCCTACAGACAGGTACCCGTTACCTAGGAGCCGCTCCGCCACAACTGTGCGTAATAGTTGCGCGTAATGACCGCTCCTCGTCAGTTAGACTGCACGCCTCTCATGTTGGTCTCACTGACAGGTTGAGAGCCCACAGACAGGTACCCACGAGCCGCTCCGCCACTGACTGCTCTTGTCCTGTCCTCTCCCTCTTCTTTCTCTCCTGTCCTCTCTATCACTAAACTCTGAGCTTAATCATTAGCTTTTAGCTTAGCAGCACTCGTAATTGAGTAGGCTTTTGAACAATGCAGGAGAAATGTTGCAGACAGTTTATATTATCAGCCTGGGCCTGGGGCTTGTTGTAACAGTAAATGGGATGTGTTGTAACTTGTGTAAGTTAAACTGTGTCTGTGTGAGTGTACATCTTACCCTGCGATGCGTGATGTGGGCAGTGGTTCCAGCCACACGCTGCTACTGCTGCCAAGCAGCCCCGCCCGTTGGAAAGAGTGTGGGATATACCACTACTAGGAATGGGAGGAGGGGACTAAATCTTTTAAGATTTAAATAGCACATTATTGCGCGATTATAATGAGCACCGCTTACATTGTGCTTTCAATAAATACTACTGCATTGTTCAAAAATTATTAATTGTGTCTCAAATGATTCTGGGGGGGGGGGCAGCTTTACTGAAGGGGGAGTCATGTCCCCCCTGTCCCCCCCGGGATTTCCGCCCCTGATCATGATACTCAAATGTGTCAATATTTTCTTACACCAGATGTGAGAAGATTGGAATTGATAAAAATGTTAATTTCCTTCACTTATCAGTGTTATTACTCCTACTCAAAGCATTGAGCAATGGTGACAATGTCCCAGCCGTATGCACCCATAAATGAATACCTGCAGACACTACTCAGGGCTGAAGAGCTGTGATGTTAGTTGACATTTTTATTTACAGTTAATATTCTCTTAAAAAGCTTCTAGAATTGAGCTCTTTCTGGAAAATATGCAAATACATTATCTGTCACAGAGTATCAGATATCTTTAAAGTACCCATATTTCTGCCACTGTAAGGTATTGAACATGTCAGACAATAAAAAAACTTTCCATAAATTCTACTTCCCTGGTTCAATGATCCAGGAAGTGATAGATAAAAAGATTTTTGTTCATTTGCTCCTCACCTGCTCACACAGGGGCCTGGATGCCAGTTCTACTTTGTTTTTTTCTGCTCTAAACAGAGCAGGCTATCATGCAGATACTCTACCTTTGCCATTTCACATAGTTTAGTTATAGCTCTGCTGTTCTTTATTCCCAGCTTGCTAAGCAGTTTTAGATAAGTTTTGTTTTAGAGTTAAACTCTCAATGTCAGCCTAAACTGACCTGTGTTATCTGTGAGAATAAGTTTAGGGTGTAAAGCCCTCGACAGTAGCTGTGAGCAGCGCCTTCTTTTCCACTCGACTTGTATTTCCATTGGAAATGGGCTCTCAGGTTGTTGCTAGTTTTCATAAAGGTGTGGCTGACCAGACCACTACGCCTGTGCCAGACAACAGCACAATGCATAACAGCTGTTGGACAAAACGATCTGTGCAGAAACAGATGTTCAAACAAAACACTCACAACACCTGACGACATAATGGTCTAATTGATTCCAAGACGTTTTGAACTAAAAGGTCCTTTTGTACAGAAGTGTCACAGGCACCTGTCATGAAAAGCAGAGAATTTAAATTTTATGCAAACACCTCTAAAGCTTTTACTCAAATTCAATGACTTGTCTCAGGAGCAAGTGGAGATCAGAGCTAAAAAGAAAGTGAATGTTGGACTTACATTCACCAGGTGACCACATACACAATTTGACATGACAGTGTGAATGATGAACCAGGCTTGCCCTGCCTCAAGCCATGACATATATATAAACTGAGACACTTTAAGAGATAGAAACGTCAGCCAGGAGAGGTGTGATGACAAAGCTTTTAAAGACGATGAACAGAGAGTGAAGTGACACAGGAACAGGACTTAATGTGTATAGACTGAATGTGAGGCTGCCAAAGAAAGACTGGAGCACTTTCCTGTCCAGAGCCGACACAGCAGGGCTATAAAATCCACAGTTGTCGGAGCCAGAAGCCTCTAAAGGCCTGACTTTATTTAACCCTTCCATCTCAAGGCTGAGTGGTGTCAAAAGATACATGTGGAGATACGGCCAGGTCAGATACTGTGGGTTTATCAGCTGTGAAAGTGTGGGGTTTATTTCACATCACTGTGAAGACTCACTCAGCAAAAGATTGGAAGCAAGAGGAAACAGATAGCCTGGCTCTGTCTGAAGGTTAAAAATCACTGCCAACCAATACTTGTGGTGTCTTTGTTTAATTTGTAGGCCTACAAACAAAACAATTATTTGAAGGGGTTTCCATAAGACATAACTATAACATGACAGC